CAGTAGTTAGCTCGGTAGAAGATTAAGCTATATATAGGCACACGTTATAGGCGTTGTAGCCGGCTTACTTAATAGGGTTACAAAAAGTGTGGAAATCGATGGAATTGACAAAAAACCTTAGAAAACGCGTTTTTGGGCCTATTTGGCCAATATCAACAGCTTTAGGAATTCGACTGGCTGTTGGGCCTGACCGCCGCCTGTTGCGCGCGCGCGGGGTACCCTACTATCCCCTGGGACCGACCCGCTTTCTCCTGGCGTTTGCAGCCTACAGCGCTAGAGGTTATCTCAGGTTCTCAGACCAGCCATGCGCTGTATCCTTTGTACTGCCCAGGGACCCACTATTCCACTGAGCTCTCCAGCCAATCAGAAACCCCACACAACAAACAGCGCCAGCTGGTCTGAGTACGTTCCGAACAAAATCGCGGTCTCCTTCATAGAATTGTCACTTTTCCACCACTTTTCCACCCACAACCTACCACAACAACAGTCGGATACGTTACCTTCCAGATACATCAAAAGGATCGCATTTGGAAGGCCTTTCCAGCTGTGGTTGAATTACACCAATTGGGCTAATCCTGGCTGGGATGCAGGCAATTGAACCGTTGCGTGGGTGCCGTCTCGTGGGCCGTCGCGGCGCCCGTCGCGGTCACAGGAGCTATTGAGTCAACCTTCCATACCACTTTTCCACCCAGTACTGACTTCCTTGCGTAGGAATTGAAAGGATGGCCATTTCAAGAGCTTCCTACCAGTAGTAGGCTTTTTCGCCCTAGCCTAGTATTGCCTAGGATGCAGCCGATTGAAGCCATCGCGACTGTCAAGTTAACCTACCACCCAACCGTACAGGCCGACCTTCCACGCCGATTTTTCCACCAGTATTGCTCCCATGCGTACGAGCCTACCACTGGAATAACGGTCCTTGCAAGAGCTTCCTACCAGTGGTAGGATCTTACACGTGGGCCCAGTATTGCCCGGGATGCGCGCCGTCAAGTCAACCTGCCAGCCGACTGTACGGACCTACTTTCCCACGCTTCCTGGGCAGTATTGCTCCCACACGTACGGGCCTACCACTGGAAGAATGGGCATTTCAAGAGCTTCCTGCTAGTGGTAGGCACGGTCGCAGGGCACGAATACTGCTTAGGATACGTACCGTCAAGCCAGCAATTCCACACCCTCCAACCTGGATCTCAATGGCCCACGAAGATGTGGCCAAGCGGGCAAGTCTCTGAGGTAGGCCGGCCATTTCTTATCCTCTGTCAAATTTGAGCATGATACAACAAGTGGTGGTTGATTCCGACCGGGGCAATCAGGTCGACATCCCTCAATGACGCACAAAATTCACACCCCCCTTGCGACATCTCCAGGAAGACCACACAGAACCTCGAACATATATATATCATCAGAAAGAGCGGTCAATTCCAAACCTCAGAGTGTATTTTATATAGTATACAATTGGACTGGGCTGCCATGAATGATGATTGAAAATGGTGACTTCTCCAATTTGTATGGGGGTAAAATGACGCATGAGGCGATTTCGTTCGGAACGTCCACAGACCTTTTCTGAACGCAGTGTTGGAGGACCCACTCTATACATACGCACGGGCCACAGGACCTTCCTGACCTGCCCCCAACTGCAGTTCAAGAAAAGGTCTGTGAACCAGAGATAAGCTAGAGGCACGGTCGGTGCTTCGTTTTCGCGCAGGCGCGTCATCCGAAAGAATTGCAGGCAACTAAATACCGTTCTCGAAACACCGCCCGCGGCGCGTCTTCGCGTTCGCAAAATCGATTGGCCAATTGGACCATGCCTGCAAATGTTTGACGGAACGCGGCTGCGTGTCTGCATCTCTGCGATACTACTGTCTGAGCGCTTGTTTTCTCCCGCTCGGGATTCGGGACCCGGGGTATGGATCAAATTGAGACAACATATACTCTGAAAGGTGTGCATCGCAAACCGAGTCTGGAAATGGCTGCGACAACAGTCCCAGCTCAAATGTCGAATGAGACGCATTTTAGCAGTCCGGACATGAGATGGGTCGGCTCCGACCTGGCACTGTCTCCCGGCATTCGCCGGAGACTCCCGGTCAAGGAACCGGAAAACGCCACCGAGGGAGCCCGGAACGGGCTGTATTGCCTAAACACCAGAGTCTCCTATATCTAAGGTAGTCGAGCAACATTTTGCCAGCTACCGCGCCTTTCATCTTCGTGAAACATCGGCAGGCGCAGAATGGGTTGACAACAAAGTGTTTCCAAACATTGGATATTCTCCACTGCAACCGGAAAGAGAAGACTGTAATCAAGAATATCAAACCATCCCAGAGTGTTTCCCCGGCCAAGAAAAGCGGTCGCGGGGAAGCCAGCATGATGGCAGGGGCGCTGCGCCCACAAGCCATGTGAGTTTGGAAGAGAACTCACTTCATTGGCGGTTCAGCGCGGCAAGTTGGGTGTCGGCTGTGATTGCCCACAGTTTCCCTCGCTGAGGTTCTGCGCTTTGGGCTCGTTCTTGCCGCCCTCTCTGTCGGGAAATGCAACGACGGCAGAGAGGAGCGACGGGAATTGGGGAGGCGTGCCTTGAAGTTGCCAAATAAGCAACTGCTGAGCTGCATGGAGAAGCTGCAATAATACTATGAACCCCACAAAACAAGACTCTGCAGTAGAACCCTTTCTGGCGAGTCCCAGCTTCTTTTGAGGGGCCTCGTAATGGGGATGGTATATCCCGGAATTCGAAGACGCCTTCAATGGGTCTATCGAGTGCTTTCCGGCCAAGGACAACGGTGGTGGCTGGGTACGGAGTACCTAGGGAGAAATTTCCGGCTGACGGCTCCATGCACACGACGTATTGCAATTAGAGGTGCTGTAAGTGAGGACTGAGGAGGCCCGTCCCTGTCGGTATTGTCGTCCACGGAATATTTATCAGGTACCCTGTGTAAAAAGGGTCTTTGGTGGTCCGAGAGCCAGGAAACAACCGCAGCTCAACCCGGCCGGTGAAACTGGGCTGCCTGCAAAAGTCGGTAATAATCATTGACGGTTAACGTTAGGGGTCAAGGCAGATGGCAACCCTGGAACTGTCCGTCGTCCATACAGCACCAGAGGTCTCAGGACTATGGATGCTTGGGCGGCGTTGAACGATTTCAGACGCGATCGGCTATAATCAATCCAACTTTGCTTTCCGAGTTGCTCGGACCCTAACGTTCACCACATGTCTCTTCACATCGGAGTCACTTGCATGTGCATACACGTATGCAGTGCATGTCTGCGATCAGAAAGGCAGGAGTGGTGCTCTACCGGCCGGCCAAAAATAAGCCGCGAAGTTGAACGTTGCATTCCATGGATTCTCGCAATCATTCCATCCGGGGGACAGCGCGTCCCCGCTTACTACTTCATCCTACCTATCAGGGAAAGGCTGGTTTGAAGTAACAGTCACAGCGGGAGCTCTCACAGCCTCATGTGCCGGTAAATTATGGTGTGCACCGCCCGAGCCAGTTGGTCAGCCTTATCCGCCGCAGTTGTTGCAGCTGCACGCCAGCTGCTTCCACAGATCTTCTGGAAGCCACCTTCAAAGGCATCGCCCCACACCAACCCTGGTGAGCAATACTGTACCGTATCTGTGTATGCATTGTACTACCTACACTTGCGGAGTACACATATGAGGGGCATCTCCCCATTGCGTGGTTCTTAACCTGAATCCCGGAGAGGGATTTTGTGCAGACTCGTTGTACTCGGCCCGGCTTTCAACAAGCGTGGTCGGAAAGCGAGCCGAAGACAAAGCCGAGGCATGGCAGGTGGCTCACAGGGGACCCGGACACTTCAAATTACCGACCAGGCGCGCTCGAGCCAGAATGAAGGAAAGGAAAGGAGAAGAACGACAAAGAAGGCAATCAGATTCCAATCTCCTCTCCCGGACTGGGCCGACCGTTTCTGTTTCGAACCCGCAGCGAAAATCTTTGCTGCTGGCCGTTCTGCTGTTGGTGCAACACTGCGAGTTGTGGACTTTTGGTGCGCCTGTGGAGTGCTCTCGAGCCTTTTTGAGAGGGGTTGATGGAGCGATGTGGGCTTGGACAAACGGCTTGTCAGCAAGGACCAGCCCTTTTGACACATTCACCGCCTCGATCTCTAATCCGCTGCTACCGCATCACGCAGAAATCCGCTCTCGCATTGCATTTGCCCATCCAGCAAAGCAGAATGGGAAAACATAAGGCAAGCGGCCGAGAGGTAGGAGACTGGGCCCGCACACTCCGGAGCCGTTGCGGCCTCCCGATGGTTGAACGGTCGGCTTGGCGCGCCGCTCTCGGCATCGCCGGACACTCTGGCGTCAAGGTGGAGCCGAGTACTCCGTCAGCTCACGGAGCATCTACGGAGTACGCCTAAGCGGATCCCGATTAGTGCTTCGCCGGGGTCCGTCTCAGTTGCTCGCTCATCATCATCATGAGCCCAGACAAGGCAACCGTGCTTGCAGCCTGAATCCACTCGTACATAGTAGGGTCAGCCAGTTGTGTGCTTGAGCAAGGTAATCCGTGACGCAAAAAACGAATCACCGGGAACACCTACCAACCTTGGCCAACCTACGGAGTACCTACCTACTGTATTCGCTTGCCCAGCCACGCAGACAGCTGGTCTGAAGCTTGAGCTGAGCAGTGCCGCGGGTTGCGAATGGCGGCTCCAAATAGATGGCTACCCTCCTTGGTGTGCTGGCAAAAAGGCAGTTTCATATCAACCGCGTTTGGGACTGGCTATTGGCTTGCAGCTACCCTTCTGCTCAGCAATCAGCACACGACACCCGGGTTTTGTGAGGGGTAAGCCGATCCGGGAAAAGCTTGCAGCACAGTCAGGAGCTGAATTCAATATTCGAACAAATCCCTATCTGTCTCTCCAAGTCCCGCACGGCTAATCAAGTGCGGGTTACGAATACAGATACAGATGGCAAGCCTGGAGGACTACCGAGAGACGTATTAATACATATCGCTCCTTGGAACGCTCGCATTGTCTGGATGTCTTGCTGGTCCCTTGACCCGTGGTGGTCAAGTAATCCCGTCCTATTTGTCTGCTCGTAAATCTCGACCAATGGTCAGAGGTACCTGACGGCGCACACGTTAATGCTGCCAAAGATCTAGGATCTAGGAGATACCGTGCGATGACCAGGTCGTCGACCTGGTGCTACGTGCTCACCTTGGCCTCGACAGCCTAGGGATATTCTGTTTGCGGACATCTCTGGAAGTGTGATATCGCTCCAGTGCTATGGTACCTTACCTGCCTTTCCAATCTGCACAACCAATCTCGTCCCGGCTGCAGTTGCAAAAGCCGACAGCTTCCCGCATGCGGGTCACAAAGGCGAGCTGCTGGATGCTACGGGCCTAGGTGCCTCGTAATTCAGCATCAACACACTGCCGGTTGTCTGCTGTACCCCTTCCCATTCCAAAACTCGCGGCACGGCTCAAGGATCGCAAGTTAATAGAAGAACTTCGTTATCAACCGTGTTGTTGTTGTTCTTGTTGTGGGTGGTCGGCGACGAGGCGGCCGCGCTAACGGATAAACCCCGAGGCCAATCCCTGGAGGCCCTGTTGTCCAGCATGGTGAAAAGATGCTGACGATGGCATGAGAAACCGATGCCCAGCACCCTGCCACTCGCTGCCCTAGCCGACCGAAGCGTTGTGGTCCCCTGTACAGCACCAATGCGGTGGCAACCAACCTGGCCAAGCACCGGATGCCTTATAAAGTTGTACGACCTAAGAGTGAACAGCCAGTCTGAGAAATCCCGTCTTGAGGCTCCGGTGATACCTCACATACGACGGGAAGTATATCTTGTTAGATCAAGCCGAGGCAATGGAAGGTAATTCATATCCGGCCATCTTGGATCCTCGTCACAACGTCGGGGGTTCAGAGCGAAGGAGACAACCGAGGATGCCAGCAAAGCTCAGCAGAGATAGACGACAAAACACCGCAAAGATGGATCTCTGAAGTGTTATTTGCTAGAGGCTCGGTTGCAGTGGCGCGGCTTGAGTGTTGGATAACTTGGATTGCTGATTCTGGTGTCATTCTTGCTGCAATTCTCTAGCCTTATCCCTGGGGCAGGTTGCAGGCGACACCTCGACACGGCTGGCTGAAGAACTGGATTGGACAAAAGGGCTGTTTGGCTCGTCATTGACACGCATTGATTTAAATTGGATTCAAGTCACCGCGTCTCGCCGTTTTGATTGGCTCATTGCCCGCTTGACTTGCCCGATTTGCGTTGGTGTAAGGAACCACAGTTTCCAGCCTTGACAACTTGCACTCATTGTCATTAAACGTGTTTCTAAAATATCAGACCGCACCTCTGGCTACTCCTCTCCTCCCGAACAATGATCAATCCACGACGCAGAGGATGCTAATTGACTCTCTCAGAGTAGGATTCACCTCAATTGAGATCTTAGCAGAGCCTACATTCCGGCAGCAGACAGGGCCTGTTCTGATCGCCTGTCCCACCGACCCCTGATCCGTCTGACCTGCAGCTACCAGCCTCTTCAGGCGGGGCTTGTCTCCCGCGGTCCACCCCACTGGCTCCCATTAAACGCGAACACGCCAAGCAATTCATGATACGCGCAGCAACACAAATCTTGGAATCGGCGGGTGTATTGGATGCTTTGAGGGAAGGATCTGGGCACGCGATGCTACCCGAGTTGGCGGCTGATACATAGTGTAGAGAGAGGATTGTTACAATGTTGTGTTTGACATCTTCATTGTAAGAAGATGCCATCGAGTTCCTCGGAGAACTGACGTAAGTTTTTAGTACAGTACAGGATGAATCCAGTTTTCTCTAGTGTCGGACAGTGCATTGGCGCTTCTGTTAGACGAGGTTCTCGAGCAGGCTTCGATTCGCGGCCAAAGAGAGAAGATTGATGAAACTTACGTTAAGCCGTCCCATCGGGGATTACCTGCAGCTGGCCTCATGCCACTCCACATTCTGGCCTCGCGACTGGCCGTTCATGTCTCTCTACGCAATTCACAACGAAACAAATGCCGTCCCTGTTCACCAGGACCAGCGACCCGGCTGTCTCGGTTGCTTGAATGTGTGTAAGCAGCAAGCCATGCCCAGATAGATGTGGCTTTTCGGTGAGAGGCGGGCCCAAGAATGAGGCCTGGGCGATCCTATTTAAACTCCTTACGCAACAAACAAACAAATACTAAGACACCTAGGGACCCTGATCTCCTCGAGCTTGCTCCTGTGCTTCGCTTCGTAACAACTTGTTGATGCTTCTTTGCTCGAGCTGGCTAACATTTATCTTCCGGCCTGTTTCTAGTTTCTACTCAGGCACGGAGGCATGCAGTTTCGTCCGGGAACCTGGAGCTTGCAAGCATCCTAGTCTTTCTGCACCATTGTATGCAGCAGACGAGTTCCACTTGTGCTGCGTCACGTTATACACTAGGCGCCGCGCTGCTCCCGACTTTTGCAGCTATGACGCCTGAACAAGGCATTATGAATACATTATCAAAGCCAACAACCGTTCAGGTAATGAGGGGGAAGGGCTCAAGAGAGGCAACCACAGAGCTTGACGGCCATCATCGTACAGTACCAACAGAGAATGGGGGACCAACAACCCTTTAGATAAAGGTACTCACTGTTCAGAACCATGTCTGAATGGACTTTGCTAGTGATCCACATGCTGCCTCCTCGGGATTCTCCCAATCTCGGCCGCTCTTGAGTGGTTGAAATCTGAAGCGTAATGGGGTATATGCGAGGGTGCCCCGCAACCTTACCTGGTGTTAAGGCACTTTTGTGAAGCGGTCGTCGGGACCCCTGTCGCTCTAAAGTATCTTGCCTGAATTTCCAGCCGAGCAGTGAGCCCACACATTTCCGCCGTCGCCCACCATCAGCTTCATAGCGCACCGAGGAGCAAGTTTCCTGGCTGTGAATGTCCCTGGACGAGCACAACCTCCACACCGGGTCTGCAATCACGGCATCGAGGGTAGGGTAGCTAAGGCAATACATGTGTAACTTTGACGAGTGTACGAAGTAGGATAGGCAATTCTCGGCGCCCTCATATTTGGTTCCACCTCTCGCGAGGCGCGGCCATGTAACCAGGCGGGCCGCTCTTCGCGACGCAGATTCGCAATGTTGAGCACTTAATGTCATATAGCGAAGACGACACGCCCTGATTGGGCCTCGTTCCATGCTCCCCCAATGGCAACCCTTTCAATACGTTCGATCCGGGACAGCCTTCCTTGCCTGTGTGCACAACGGAGGCCAGGGCCTTGCTCTTCTTGGCATGGACCGTGGTGAGCTGCCTGGATGGCCTGAATGGCCTGGCTGACCCTGCACGTCTGTGGTCCTGCACTGGGCCAGGGCAGGTACAGCAGGGTACCTCAGTACACGGTGGGTGCTGCAAGCTGCTTGGTGCTTGGTGCTCAGCGCTCCTTCAACGGGCGAGCCGGGGGCCCTGTCTTAAATCGGCCGTTAACCAATCTCTGCTTTCCATTCCACTCCTTTTTTCCCTGCTCCGTCCTCCTCCTACCTGAACAAATATCTTTCTCCTCCTCCCCTTCCCTTTTCCCTATCCTCCATCCGTAACCAGTCGTTCCCTCTCCCGCACCGTCCCTTCCAACATCCCCCCGTTGGACTCCCTTTCTCAGACCGAGAAAAGGAGGGAAGGAGGAGATTCAGATTCTGGGCCATCGACAAGCTCACCCAGCATTAAAGGACACGGCCGGACTGGTGCGTGCTGAGAGCCGCGAAGCAAGAAAAAAAAGGAGAAAGCTGAAATTTGGGAAATCTCACACTTTCCTGCATTCTGGCTTCCCCCAACAGCTCTTTCGCAGCACCCAGCTCCCTGGTACACCTTCTCTCTCCCACCCCACACAGGCATTCTTCGGTTCGACAACGAGGAATCCTGCATCATTTCCCCCGGCCTGCTCCCTTCGTTCCGAGCACCTCCAAGGCCCGCACCCATTCCTCCGACATTTGGCAGCCTCGGACCTCGACCTCGACTTCAGCAGTCTAGATTCGAGCGAAACAGTGTTTTGTGTCGCAAGCAACGGGAGCATTTGACGGGGGAATACGAATTCCCTTTTCCAGCCAGGAAAAATCGTCGTCAAAAGACCTGCCACCGATCCGCGAGCCAAGTGCGACTCCGGGTCAACACAGCAGCTACATGACCTCGACCGGTGCGTAGCCTTTCTGGCCCTTCCTCGGCGTCCGGGTGTGAGGTATGTGCAATAGATACCCCGAGTCTCCAAAACCCCAGTATTTCCCCAGATGCTCGAGGTCGAGCGGTACTGGCGTCCTCTCAGCCCGTGATGTCATTCTTCGAGGCACAATTATAGCAACATGTGCACATGCTGAATGGTGCTCCCCCTTGCAGATACATGCCGATTCGGTTGCACCCTGCAATCCCCGGCATCTTCCACGCTCACGCGTAGATTCAAACCAACGGCCAAGAACAGCCTGCTGTGGGACACGTTAACTCGTTGCTCCCACCTGGTGTTCAGGAATTGTGTCATTTTTTGCGTCGGTCCTTCTCCTCGACCCGCAACCGTGGCGGTAAGGGATTCCCTATTCACTATCCAGCCTGGTCCCTTCTTTTTCCCAGGCCCGCAGAAACCCAACTCAGTCAGGATCCTGCTCGGCTGCGTCCCCGAAGGAGATCTCGGGATGCCCCGCATCTGACAGGAACTATCCCGTGCCTGCCAGATCTGAGTATCCAAAGTTCTCCACATAATGATCAACTCGTGTTGGCGTACCTGCCCCTGAGCAAAGTGGATCTCGTGCCCAAGCCACCTGTTCGGTGGTGCGTTGGAGGTTGGGAATTGAATGAATGGCGCTGATTCCTAATAACTCTAGAAGTCCCCGGTCGACATAATTCAAAACGGCGGTGTTTCCCCCGATCACTCGACTCTCATCTGCCCTACGAGAATCCATTCTCTTTCTCGCACCATCTCGGCAGATCTTCCAGTCACAGTCACTCCTTTTCAATTTGGTTTTTTAATTCACCACACTCCTTAATAATTTAATACTAGTCTAACTCGGTCGACTGCGTCATTCTCTGGCTCGACCCGACCGCAACTTAATAGTGCCAATATTCGTACGTGCGTCGAAAGATCGGCGCCCATCCGTTGACTTCCTGGCGAACTCGGAATATCCCGTCACTCTTTCTAGACGCCTCGACCGCCCGTTTTCCCACTTGACAGGCCACCGACCGATCAGTCGAGATGGCCTCTTCCGGTTATGCACCCGACAACACCTACTTTGTCGAGTCGGACGAGCCCATCCAGCGTATGAATATGCGTGATGCTGCCAAGATGATTGCCCGGAACAAGCAGGAGATGATCGCCAATGAGCTCTCGAGGCTGGCCTGTGACGAGTATCTGGAGGACATCATGCAGCACATGCGTCACATGGAGGTAAGAAGGATCTGAAGTGCCAGTTGCCCTGGGTGCGACGGTCATGGATGATCAGCTAACTTGGTGGCTAGGACGAAACATTACCGGACGCCAATCTAATCGACATGCAGCGTGAGATCCAATGGTTTATGCGGCCGTATCTCATCGATTTCCTGATCGAGGCCCACGCGGCTTTCTCCCTCCTGCCCGAGACACTCTTCCTGACGGTCAATCTTCTGGACCGGTACTGTTCAAAACGAGTGGTGTATAAGCAGCACTACCAGCTGGTCGGCTGTGCTGCGCTCCTCATCGCTGCCAAGTACGGGGACAAGAAGGAGCGAGTGCCCCAGATCAACGAGCTGAACAACATGTGCTGTGGACTGTACGATGCAGGCATGTTCACGCAGATGGAGATGCACGTTCTCAACACGCTGGATTGGAATATTGGACATCCGACCGTCGACTTCTTCACGCAATTGGTTGTGGCTGAGGAGCGGGACAGCAGGGAGGTGGAGCACATGGCCGCGTATATTTGCGAGATTGCCCTCTATCACCGAGACTTTGTATCAACAAAGCCGTCGGTCATGGCAAGGGCTTCGCTCGCACTCGCCCGCGCAATTCTTGGCAAACCCGAGGTTAATGACGGCGAGTGGGATCACGTTGACAATGTGACACTGCTTACGCTTTCTCAACACCTTCACCAGCCGTCGGTCACTCTGGCCAGGAAATACTCGAGTCACTACTACTCGAAGGTATCCAGCAAGCTCGCCGACTTCCTCGCTCAACAGGCTGCCATTGCACGGCGAGGGGTTCCACCATCGCCCCCTTCGGAACCCGCCCACTCGGGGAAGCCGTCTGATGTGTACAGCACTCCGCATAAGGGACTGGGTGCCGTTCCCGGGGTTGCTGACGGATACATGACGCCTCCCATTACTCCCGATGGCACTTGCTTCGGCCACAATCCGGCAATGATTAAGGATTACCAAGTCCCGCCCCGGCGCCCGGTTACACCGACCCCTCAGCCGAGTCATGCGTCGTCATACCAGCAGGTACAGCCTCAAGCACAACATATGGCAGGATCGTCGTATTTTGACGGTACCACCTCCCAGATGTCGTACTGAGAGGAGGCGCCGGCAAATTCGAGCGGCTCGCTTTGAGGCCGAGTCGACGACGTAATTCGGTTACTAGCCTTATATAATATAAGGGCTGGTAACCGTCGGCGACGGCGCCTTGTTTTATTTCTATTGCTCTTTTTCTCTCTATTTCCGGGGGCATTTCGAGATATACCACTTTGGAAGACAAAAGATTGCATGCATCTGGCTCTTTCTTTGTACGAAAACATTAGCGACATGGCATCAGCGTTGAATTCTGCGAATTTTCTTCCCGACTTCACTTCTCATATTGGGATCATTACGCGGGGGAGCAGCGTCATGGCTGGTGGCCCCCTGCAGATCTGATGATGCTTCTTCGCCATACCCCTGTTCACAACAGCCATGTTAATCTTGAAGCGTAAAAGGAAACCACCAAAAAAAAGAGTCGGGCGAAGTTGATATTTTGGTGCTGAGAGGGCACCACACATCTCGGGATTTTTTCCATGCACCATCCGGAGGATTTGACTCAAAGTGTGATGGTTGAAAAAGGGGGGATTGTGCGAAGGCCGGGAGCGGCAATCAAGATTGGCAAAGTTGTATTGAGTGAAGGACACGGCAACTTAAAATGTAGTGGGAGGACAAGAGTTCAAACGGTGGGAACGAGGATGGACCAAGGACCAGACCAACACCCCCAGAGAGCATTTGTCGCCAGCACCTGTCTATTAGTGGACACTACAGTTGGTTGCCGGCGGCGAGGAATGAGATGGTGGTTAGGAGTCTATGCAGTGACTCCGAAAAACCATGTCTTGAGTGGGCAGGGGGTTGATTCGACTGCCCAGAGTCTTGCTCATTTATCCCAAGGTGTGACCGCCGATAGGTAGCTGCTGAGAGTGGAAAAACGAGTAAAATCTCTGGCAATGTGGTTTCTGACCATGGATCAAAAGTGAAGGCAAATGACGTTCCAGGATGTCTCAACTCGATGCTTTTGCCATCCATTCCCCTTCCCTACATGATTTCAGTCTTGCGCTCTCCTTCGCTGTCGCCGCCGTTGTTTGCGTGCCTTTCTTGAGTCAAAGTGATTGACCTGACCCCCCTCGGCGGCGGGATCCAGGCGATCAGGCCTGAAGCCGCGGGGCCCGCTCACGATGATTCTACTCCCGCGCCGCGCATCGTCCTCGTCCCGCAGGACCCTCCTGATCATATTGCCGTCGAGAAACTCGTGTTCAAACACGACCCGGGAGGGCGTGTGTTCTGCTAACCAGCTCAAAAGATCTTGGCCCTGGTCTTTCCCCTCTCCGCCATTGTCATGTTCCTCGTCGACTGCATCCTCCACCTCCATAGCCCGACCCGGACCAGGGGCAATAAAACGGAAACGCATCTGGCCCGGCATGCGGCCGGCGCCGAGCACGTCGCGCCGGTCCTTGCCCAGCCACAGCCGGTAGCTGCCCGGGGCGCCGGACACGTAGCACGAGTGGAAAGGCAGCAGCCCGCTCAGCCGGTCCGGGGAATACTCGTCGCCGGTGTAGTCGCTGCGGGCTTGGCCGGGGAAGGCCACGACGGGGGTGATGTGGGACACGGGTTCGTATTCTTCGTCGTCTTCGTGGCCCGGTGGGTGCGGGTATATCACGGAGACAAAGGCCGGCGGGGTCAGCGGCGGGCACACGGCCACGTCCAAGTCGTAGACGCGCGACTGCTGGACAGACTCGGCTGTGGAGACGGTGCGCACGGATTGGGCTGCGTACGTGTCCAGGTCGATTTGGAGGAGGAGGATGTCGGCTTCCCAGAGGCAGGGGAGCGTCGCGCCGCTGTCGAGAAGGGTCGGCCAGAAGATGCGCGGCCCGCTCGGGTCGGCTGTCATGGGCGGCCGGCGGTGGCGTACCCGGCGGGTGGCGTAACGGCTGGCCGTCGTGAATCCTCCTTCTCCTCCCTCTCCTCTCTCTCCTCCCTCCCATTCTTCTCCTCCTTCTCCTTCTCGGGCTACCCACTCCTTGCGCCGGCGGAATCCCAGGGTCACGCGGTAGTGGCCCATCTCCTCGCTGATGGCGCGCCAGGCGGGATGGTTCTCGAGACAGATGGCCTTTTTGACCAGGATGGGGGCGGCGCCGCCGCCGGCCAGGGGCGGCTCATACCACAGCCAGCCCGGGCCGTGCTCGGCGAGGTAGCGGTCCAGGCGCTCGGCGCGGTCGGCCGCGAACGAGGCGAAGCTCGGGCAGCGGTCGACGATGCGTCCGGCCCAGATGAGCGTGTAGGCGTCCGAGTAAGGGATGGCGCCTGACTCGTAGCCAGCGATGGCGGCTTCGATGTTGGCGCGCTCGGGGGGGAATCTGCTGGTTTGGAGGGTGGCGCGGAGAAGGTCGACGCGCTGTTGGATGGCGGCGCGGTGGAGGGAGGGGTTGGCGGATCTAAGGAAGTGGGTATTAGTCTTTTTGCCCCTTGTTATTCTGCTTGACTAACTCAGGGGTACTAGTGGGCGATACCTTGGTTGCGTGTTGACTGGGTTGGTCTCATCGAGTTGTTCCCTCTCCTGGATTGCTTCCTAGAGTAGCCGAGCCATCTCAGCGTGTCCCGGATAATGCTCGACCAGGAAGCGCAGCTGCATCACTTTCCTGTCGGCTACCTCTATCGGACTGGGGTCTTCCCCTTCGAGCCAGAGCGGCGAGCCCATGACGATGGATGGTTGCCATGCGCCCCGGCCTTGGCTATTGGTGGGAATTTCTCCTGGTGCTGCTGGCGAAGCCGTATGCTGCTGCTGCTGCTGCTGCTCCTGTTGCTGCTCCTGCTGGGCCTCTTCTATTCTTACGACGCTTCGGGTTCTTATCCGCTGGGCAACAGGTGTTGCAGTGGCATCGATATTCATCCCCCCACTGACGCGGTGAGCTCTGTTACGGTCGAAGCTTCCAACATTGCGTGCAGCGCGCCTCGACGTGGACGAACGACGTCTTCTCTGGACTCTCAGATCATGTTGCTGAGCCTGAGCAGCCCCAAGTGCCAAGGAGCGTCGTCGATCCATGATGCTAGCGACACAAGCAGGGAGCGACGGCTTCTCTATCTTCGACTGATATGTCAAGATCCATCGATGGGGATTTAGTCGTAGCAATCAAGTACCTTCTTAGTAGCTAATTATGTACTGCCCATCCTGGGTGACTCTCAAGGAGCCTTTCCCATGGCTACAAGTCTTGATCCTTCATTGCCTATAAGTTAGGACAAAGAGTCATCATCTCCCATGCCGGCGACCAAGCAGTAGTTCACATTGTACGGTGCGTCTTTCGTCGAGAGCGGTTCTTTGTCATGCAGAGCACTAGACGCTGAAAACGGGGGATCCCCACAGAGCACACAATCGATTTGCTTTGCCAAAGGTGCTGGGCAAAGGCCATCAAAGTACTGGAGCTAGGTTCCATTGTTTCCTCCAGCGCCGACACGCATGCGTCGGCGCATTCCTGCCCGGAGACTTGCTTACCGTGCTCTTTGTCTTCGTCGCAATTACTGCAGCTGTTTTCGCGCGAGCAAATCTGTTGATGATATGCAGCTTCATGTGGCTCAGGGGTAAGATCGACTGCCAGACAATCCAATACTTCATACCCAGCCCCCGAAAAACACGTTCGCGAGACGCAATGTCAACGCACTCAGTTTCGTCGAGCATCCCGTCTGCAGAGCAGTGGGCGTCGTACCTTAGAGCATCCGCTGAGCAGGCAGCTCCGCCGCCTCGCTGGAGGCGTCGAAGACGGGTCGACTGTAAGCATCAAATGAGGTGGCAATCTGGCCGACGCGGAAAGCCAGTAGTTTGAAGCTAACCATGGGCTTCTGCAGCCGACTTTGTGCGCTTTCTTATTGACTACGCCGCTAATGACCCGGAATGTCCGCCCCTGTTCAAAGCTTACCTGGAGGACGTGGTTCTCAAGCCATGCAGCAACCCCGAGGACCGCGTGCTCAGGGTGGAATACCACCTGAGAAACCCGGAAATCACAAAGTATACCCTTGGCGAGCGGTTTCGGCGTAAGCTGGACAACTACACCATATCTAGTAATGTGTTTGGGACGGGGCCCGTGGTGCCTTCTGCTGCAATTCCAGAACAATACCGGCCAAACACTGGGGCCCAACCGGCCGATGACATGGACATTGACTTTGCCATTTATCCATCCGAAATAGACCAGGAGAGTGTCAAGGAGAAGGAAGACGAGAAAACTCAGGGGGACCACAACGAGGATGAAGAGGAGACCTTGAGTAGGATGCGCGATAGATTGCGAACTCCCGAAGAAGGCGGCCAGAGCTCAGAGGAGACCGACAGCAGCATCCTAGAGACTCTGCAGTCCATCCCATCCTTTGGCATTAGCGAAGCACTTGCCGACGCGGTAACCTTGGAGGACATGCGGGGCCCAGATCGGACCACAGCGTCGTCATACAAAGGCCGTCGAATGCTTCCCTTGGCAGAGGAGCTTGAGAGGATCGTCACGTTCCTCAAAGCCGAGGACGTGGACCGTTGCGTTGACTGGAAGACCAACTTTGAAGAAGTGGTATCGTATCTCGAATGGCTTGCCCATGGTGACGAAGACCATCAACTGCAAAATGCCGGCCTCTCGACGCGGACCATCTTCGACGATGCCGTCACCAAGGCAAAGGCCCACGCCTTGTTTGAGAAGCATTGTTACGACCCGGTACCCTTGGACATCAGCAGCTTGAAGCTGCCCAAGGGGGCCCTGCTGTCGACAAGGCTGAGATGGATGGCAAAAGCAAGCGACTGGCCTCTCCCCTGCCACAGCCCAGTCCCTGACCAGAGCGAGCTCCTGCCAAGGGCGATTCCCCCGCGCCCACCAAGCCCCGTAAACAGAATCTTGCTCGACAACCCCGACAGCTCGGAATGCTATAAGACTTTCACCAAGGATGAAAAGAAGTGGTGGGATAGAATTGGCGGCGCTTTGCGTACGATTCCGACAGACGCCTCGCGTCTGGAGCGCAACAACCTCGCCTATATCGAATCCCAGGCATTCGATGCCTTTTCCGCCAGGGACAGTATTGGCTGGATCCGCCGTGACCCGGCAACGGGGATGACCCTCCTCCCTGACGACACGTTGGTGGCGGCGGGGAATGCCCAGCACTGGGCTAGAGAGCGCGGGGCCCGCCGGGCAGGACTCCAGCAGATGCTGCGCGCGTTCCGCAACCCCAACGCGCGAATTGAGCTCGACCGACCCAGGCCCGGACTGGTCTTTCCAGTCGACGCCGCCACGCTGCGCGCAGTGTGTCGGAGCGTCAACGGGCCGCAGTGGACGCCCATCGCGGTAGACAAGAGCCTGCTGCCCGGGAATTCAGCGGAAGGGCCTTGGGAATCAATGGACCCGATGCACACGACGGTCTACTGCGTTAGCTACTTCGAAACATTGAGAAAGATTCGGGAGCGCGCCATGCTGGCGATGGAGGCGGCAAGCACGCTCCCGGTGAAGCTGCCCAAGAACCTGGCCAACGGCGGGCCTTTTGTCTGGCGCGCCATTGACTCGGAAGAGCAGGCCAGACAGGACCTCCCGCGTGAGTGTCTCAAGACGCTCCGAATCCTCAAGCAGGCAAACCGCCGCGCGCCGCGTCCGCTGCTGCAGGAGGTGCTCGACCAGGCCAGCCAGGCGCAGAAAGGGGGCTTCGACTTTCAGCAGAAGATCCCCGGGGTAAACCTTGCGAGCGACGAGTGGGAGCAGGACGGATCCGAGAGGCACCCGAGGCCTCTCGATAGCCAAGAGATCCAATGGCTGAGGTTCCTGGCCGGCGAGTGTGTCAACGCCAAGACGTGGAATGGTCGCTTCGTCCCGGACACGCCAAGGGAGAAGTACAGGCTGTTCCTCATATTCGCCAGGCGGGTGCAGAAACTGTTGGACGACAAGAAACCAAAAGCCCTGTTCGGTCGAGCCGATGCCAGGGTCGAAGTTGAGCAGCTGTTGGCTGCCATCAAGGCCGGAAAGGATAGCAGCCCCGTCACCAAGTGCGAGTTCCAGCCCTTCGATGCCTGCAGCTGGCTTGACAGGATGGACAAGAGTGGCCATGTCAGGTAGGGATACACTGGTGAAAGGAGAGAGGAAAAAAGGAAACAAAGATGCTAACCGGGCTACACGCTCCTTGCAGATTCTACCTTGATCCGGCATGCTATGGTGTCGTGCAGCGGCCGCCGGCGGAGTACTTCCCCGAGCATCGCGTGCTCTGGCCCAAGAAGCAAGACCCCAACGTGCGTCCCAGCTACCTGGGCTACATTGCCGACTGGCGCGACGTCGTGCCGGGTGGCAATAGCGAAGGCGGCGCACTGCCAGACATTGACAAAGGGAGCGCCATCTATAACTTCTTTGCCTCGCTCGGCTTCCGCCTGGGACACACCATCTACGCGACAACGACGACGACGAGCACGACACCAATCATCACTCGGCACCTCCGCTCGCACCTCCGCTCCGCCATCTTGGAGTGGGACCACGCATGCAAGAGCGCCCGTCACACGCCCGAGCCCAAACCCCCGACCAAGGAACGACTGACCACGCTCCGCACGGCCATCATCGACGAGCTGTCGGCCAACGCCACCATGCTGCACCCAAGCCGCAGACGCGAACGCCTCAATCGACGCACCAACCAGTCCGACGACGGCGAAACGGCCGACGACCTGGTGCGCGACCACAACTGGGACTGGGCGGCGCTGGGGTCCGACGACGGGCAGCGAAGCAACGAGCAGCGGCAGCGACAGCGGCATCGACAATTCTGGTCCATCGACCGCTGGCCGGCGGCGGCGGCCCAAGTGAAGCAGGAGCGAGAGGAGCCGCCGACCATGACCATACGGGCGCTTCAGCCGGACGACGTCATGGCAGCTGCGCAGGCGGCGGACCCGACCGACCGGCGCTACATGCGGCCCAAGCTGAGGCCGTACGGGGAGGAGGACAAAGTGCTGTACCGGCCCGGTCCGGCCGTCTATCCGATTGGAGATACCAGGCTGCAGCGGCTGGCTGTTGAGAGGCGGATTACTGAGATGGTAAATCGAGGTTAGTTTTGGACGACACCATACTTATCACTAGCCCTCCAACTCTGTTGGTAATTAGTAACTGACCCCCGATGGAAATACCTAGCTGCCGGCTTGAGACCCAAAAAGCGCAAAAAGAAGCCTACCGCCACCGCTACACTGGTCAACGCCCTCTCCTCCTGGCTTGTTAACCCTCTCTCGCGCTTCGCCTGGAAAGAGGAGAAGAAGGCAGCAAAATATCGTGCGGACGAGGACCCGGAGGGCGGCAAGCTGCCTCCAGTCAGTCTCGACCAGGTTCCGCGCAGCTGGGACCCCGAGGGCGAATGGGAGCGTCGCATGCAGCAGGAAGCACCAGCAGCAGCAGCACAGAATGAACAGCAAGATGGTGATCAGGATGTGGATATGCAAGAGGACGAGGATGAGGACGAGGACGGGCTCAAGAATGTGGATGTGGCCATGACCGGTATGGGGCAAGCATGAATAGCAAGCCTAGGTAGTTACCGCGAGTCTGTATCGCCGGGGTATTTTTCTGTCGTGAAATAAGTTTGACGTACTCATCACACCTACAGCGCTCTTGTTTTGCAGTGTTTGCTTCAAGTTCGGTTCAACTTCCATGCGCAGCGTGAGAGAACTGTACGAGGATGTGGCTATGTGCAAACTTCTGTGGCATCCAATTGCTCATGGTCTTGGCATGTGGCGACCAATAATTGCTTAGAGAACTGTGGGGTCCAGGTAATGATTCTGCTTGCTCAGCACCTGCACTTCAATTTCCGAATTCCGACCGCCCGTTCCCTACGTGGACCTTCCTCCTGACCTCCTCCTTCTCCCTTGTCTCTTCAGTAAACCTATCAATCTCGTCTTCCATCGATTTCCGGGATACAATTCAAGTTTCCTACGGAGGTAGCTCTAGGGCATTTGAAAAAATCAAAACGCTTGCCTCGCTCACAGTTCGCTCCGTGTGAACATATGGACTGACGATTCGCTTCAATACACCTACCTAACAGGCTAACTGTAAGTTGGCAACTGTTGGCTGAGCGCATCATCGGCGCCACGATGAGCCGTTACAATCTCACGCGACAGCACGTAGCTTGACACGTCGGTTGTACGAACATAGGGAGGCACGTGTTGTACCAGATACCTAATCAGCTTAGAATTTCGTCAATTTGCCGGCTGTCCTGACTCCTGACATCAAACGTCACGTTCCCTGACAGTTGCTGTTGCATAAGGTAGCGACCTCAATGATCAATCATACCTACTAGGTTTGCACAGCACTACATACAAGTAATTTCATACCTCCCAGTCTCCTTGCCATTGCCAGCCTGGCTACCTATGTAATAGCTGCGTAGCCTTCAAGTTGCTGTTGTCGACGGCAGTCTCGTCCGGCAGGGCAAGGGTTGGTGTATTGGCCATGCTCATGACATTTGAATGTTTGCTTCGTGGTAACTTTGCTGTGCCGTCAGGAACACTTCCCTGCTTCCCTCAGTAGGATCCGCTCCCTCCCGCACAATGGCCATGGCGCAACAACCAATCAGACCACAATGTACGGACATATCTAGTCTAGGAATGCATGAAACCATGAAGAGATGTCCATCCTCCATCGCTACCCTGTTGGAACTTGGAAAGACTGTGAATTGTTGATCCCGAAGTGGTTTCCCTACCTATAGACTATACGCTTGCATAGGTGCATGTTTGTCGTGGATTGGACACAATACGAGCAGTTGCGTTGTTGGCAAGACGAACGGAGACTGGATCCATCGTTGCTCCCGTCCGAACCGTCCTCTGAGCCGAATAACTGAACCATCTCTTAATGCCCATGCATGTCCTGAGCTCGGGTCCCATCATGTCCGTTGTCATATCGAGAAGCATCCGCTTTTGAGTTACTCCATCATTCGAAACGGCTCTCCTATCGCGAGGCCCTACCCCGACTGAGAACGAAATCGACTGTGACAGCTGCGCCGAAGTCGAGATTAACCTAGCCCGGAACTTGCACTCCGCCATCCTCAAACCCCCGCCATCTTCAACACAGCGTCGACTCGATGGAACCAAACGTCATGGGGTTTGCCGTTTATGATTTTGCGCAAGGTTGAACGGGGTCTTGGGGTTCTGTGGGCTTGGGTCTTTGCTGAACATGATGACCGTCAGGCTGTTGGTCATTGGCAGCCTGAGGGAGAGAAACTCAGGCCTATTTCTACGGGTTGATGTAAGGGGAGAGAGATGAGGGATCTGACCGGAGGGAAAGGGACTGCGAGGCAAGGAACTTTGTAATCTGTTGGAACTTTGGCACGACATGTGTTTGTCTGGCTCGTCTGGGTAAGTAAGTAGTAACAGATCTCGTCGACCACCATGTTTTTAGCTATATGTAGCGGAACGTGTACAGTACCTAGACGATAGAAATGACGGCAGCTCTAGATTTTGGGATCATAATCATCTGGATATACTATCCCGTCACTGTCAAGATTTGTAAAGGTTGCGGGGAAGAACGGCAGCATATGAATGTTTCCGCCTTCGAGTCGGAGGCAAGCACGATCCCGCTGCATATGGTGGCCGGACATAGAGGGCCTGGCGGAGGTTGGGCGGACGAGGTCATGACAGGCAGGTAGCAGCGAATCGCTGCAGCCCAGTGCAACCAGGGGAGCAAACCGTTCCTTCCAGCGTTATGAATCCTACGGTGCAAGGCAACTACATTACTGGTTTACCCCCTTCAAACTTGACGGTTGTCATTGTAACGGCATATTACAAGTTGGGCTATTAGTACTGCTCAGTTGAAAGCTTCGACCTAACCAACTGCCGAACTTCCCTACCTTACTATATGTGAGCAGCATCTCTTACCCGCCTCCTTGGAAGCCTCTGTCGTTCACTACTACACCGTAAATGGTTTCTACACCCCATGACACGCACCGAGCAACATCGATGCCCAGATTCGGGCAATGTTATCAGCGGCAGTAGACCATCAGCAGAGCCGTCACTCGAGGAGCACCAAGGCTGCAACTTCGGAGACATGCCCGATATTAACTTCCATCCAGTTCTCATGGTCGCCAATCATCAATGCCAGCCCTTCATTTGCCTGCACAGCTGGCACAGTTCATGGCATTTCAAAGCGTACCAACACTTTAACGACTCGCGAGTCGCGACGCGGTTGTGACGCTCTGAACCTACCTCGAGCATACTTATACTCAGCATAAACCCGGTGGAGGGCCGACTGGATCTGGAACTCTCCAACTCTCCAGTCAAGAGCTAAAGACATATCGCATCCACGTCACTGCATAGCCTGGTCACCATGAGACCGTATTTGGCGGCACTTCTGAGCGCCGTACTCATCCCAGGCGCACTCGGCCATCGTACGTTGAGAGTTGTGGCCCAAGAGTACTGCTGCAGATGGAATCAGAACTACTGACACAGGTGCCTTTCTTCAAGAGGTACACGGGATCCTCCTTGTGAACGGCACAGCGTCACGGGAATGGCAATATGTCCGGTATATGCCCGACAACCTGCCCATGCCTCCATCTCTGCTTCATGTACGCTAACCAACGGCGAACGCAGTGACGTGAAGTCCGCCTGGGTCCTCGCTCCAGGTGAATTTGAGGGAAGCGAGTACCACAAGTCGGTTCCCCAAAATGACATTGACAGCACCAATATTACCTGTGGCAGGGACGCGTTTGATTTCGCCGCCCACGGAGACGGCCGATGTCCTAGCCGGGTCCGAGGTCGGCTTCAAGGTTTCGTGGGCCGCCCAGGGAAATCCAGGCTTTTGGCATCCGGGCCCTGTCCAAATCTACATGTCGCGCGCACCCAAGGACGATCTGGCGAGCTACCGGGGTGACGGGGACTGGTTCAAGATTGCATATGGCGGGCCCGCTAACAACACAAACTGGCTGTACTGAGCTAAGACCGAGGTCAGTTTTGCTTCCCTGCATCCCCCTAATTCAGCTTGTGGCTGCCAGATAAGACGAAGATGTCGCTAACCAGAGGGTAAAATTAGGTCTGGTACTATAGTCCAACTTCACCATCCCCAAGACTACGCCGCCGGGCAAGTACTTGCTTCGAATCGAGCAATTCATGCCTCTCCCGGACATGTATAATTGGACGGCCCAGTGGTACATCAACTGCGCCCACGTGAACATTATCGGCCCCGGCGGAGGCACCCCGACGGGATTCGCCAGATTCCCAGGCACATATGAGCAGAAAGACCCAGGTGAGCAACCGCGGAGATCCCCATTATGATACGTCATGCATGATTAGAACGAGTGATGGAAGTATATACTAAATTGTTTTCCTTTCCATTCATCAGGAATCACAATCACAACGGACTTGTTCGCCGATGGCGGAGTTACGGATGGGTTGGGGTTGCTAGAATATAAGCCTCCGGGGCCTGCCGTGTGGGAAGGCTAAATCAGCCGCAGATTGCCCAACCTAGTCAGGGTTTGAGGCCTTCAATTTCCAAAGAAGTTTCTCCTCGATGATATTTGGATATTCTAGGTACTAAGGCATACGGAAAAGGTACCAAGTGTTTAAGTGTGCTCATGTGCTGAATGTCTTCCATATAAGCGTCAACGAAGGCGCGCACTGCAACATAGTGGCAGTTGGGATCGCTCTCGCTCCTCTAGATCCGCGTGCTTTCACTTGGCTGTGCTTGCCACTGATTGCGATTAGTATGTACTTAATTACGGTCCCTAGGGGCACAAGCCTTGGTATAGCCGTATCTATTCCCGCCGCCTCGGCGCACTTGCTCGGAGCTTGGCTGCCGATCGACAGTTCAGGGGTTGCCGTGCCGGTAAATCGGGGATATCCGAGGCTATCGGTCGACAACTGAGACAAGCAATGCCATAAGAGGCGTAGGGATTACAAATTGCCATGAAGGGAGTTATGCTTCGTACATATCCAGCAAATCCCATGTCGACCAGAGAAGTAGTTATGCACCAGATAAATTCTTCGCACGATGCCCCGAAGTCATTTATATGTATATCCCATACACCTCAACTCCAAGCTCCATTGGTGCAATTGAACTCATATAACCCCAAGAAACTTACCGCCCCGCCATGCAAACCCACCAAGAAATGTATATCCCTTTCACCCTTCCCGTAACTATGCACAGGTTCACTGCCATCCATCATGATTCGCCTTCGAACCTAGGCTTTGGCGTTGCAGGCGTGTTCGGAGGGAGCCTGTTCCCAAAAACGTGCCAGCAGTTGGGGGCTTGGAGAATGTACCTGTTAACAGCAGAGAAAAAGGCTGTCAGCAACTGAACTACTCGTTCCAAAAAAGGACGTTGTTTTCAAGAAACACATACCTCGCCATTGCCTCCCTGAACCGGCTCTTGTACTCCTTTGGACTAGTCACGGTCGGTCTGTTTCTGCCACCCCCGGCAAAGCCACGGTTCTTGATCCAGCTCTCGAGCTGTTTATCCCACGTGTACGTCCGTATGCAGTCAATGATGCCCACGACGAGCTCCTTCTTGACCTCGTCGACAGCCACCATCAGCGAGTAGTCCATGACTTCCTTCCGCGCCAGAAACAGCGTGTCGTTGAACACGGACGCCCGCAGCAGCCGCTTCGAGTGTTCCCGCGCAAACAGCGGCGATTCGTAAATGTACTCGACCATGTTCTCGTCCAGGAGCACCTCGTCCTGCTCACCCGTCGATTGGATCTTGCGGTTGCGCATCGAGCCCTTGAGATCAAACGTGCGGCTCGGTGACCGGTCGTAAAACAGATTTTCCATGACCAGGAGGTCCAACTTAATCTCCGTGTTGGTGATCGGGTTCTTGATGATGATGCGGAAGAAGCCGAGCATCTTGGCGATCACCGACGGTAGGTCGTGGAAGAGCGCCTCGGCCATTATGCTAAAATAGTCGGGTGCAAAGTTAAGGAAAGAAGTCGTCTCGCTCAGCGATAATGACTTCAGCACGAACCGGTCATCCAATGTCTTGAGGAAGACCGACTTTGTCTTGCCTCCCTTGGAATCCCACTTTAGACAGCGGGACAGAGACTCAACGAAGCGGTCCGCCACTCCAACCTTGCGCCGAAGCGCATCGAACTGCTCGGCAAAGAAGATTTTGCACATCATCCGCGCCGAGCCATCGGTGAACTGGTACTTCACATGCGTCCCGGTCGATCGGAGCAGGCTCTTTTCAAGCTCCTCTTCATCAAAGCCCGCCGTCGCCGCGTCCCATCCCTGCGAATCCTTCATTTCTAGGCCACCGTCGCTGCTGGCCTCTGCGTCTCGTTGGTTTGATATTTTCCACTTTTGGCGGATGTCGGCCAATTTGGACTTGTAATCCTCCGAGCTCAATGCGAACGCTACGAGCGAGCTAGGCTCGTCCTCCCTGATAATCACATCCGAGTCAAGGAGGATGTGATCCGTTACGTTGATGGGATACTCGAGCTGAGGCCATCCACTAGCAGACCGCTCGGCCCAGAAGTTGGTCAGCATTGCCATGAGGCTCTTCTTCTGGTGTTTCGGAAGCTCTTCCGGAATCTCCTCGCTTGGCTCCAGGGATGCGGCAATCTCCTTGACATCGGGCAAAATGTCATCGAGAGTGAGCGCAGAATTGTCAGCATCGCTTCCGGCACCTTCATCTTCCGACCCGGCACGGCTTTCAAGCCGGGTTTCTTCCGTCTCCGTCTCGGCGATCGCCTCTTCGAACTGCGATGTTTGTGAGGGAGGTTCCCGTGGTGAGCGGGCTTCTGTCTCCGCCTGTTTGACCAGCCCCTCTTCGGCTGAGGCGTCTGGTGCGTTGGGCATGTCGCCGGGATGCCTGCCTGCTGCATCTCTATCAAGAGAATGTTCCTCATCCCGCTGTCCCGCTTCCTCGACAGCCTGATTCACGTCCTTGTACACTTCTACTATGGTCTTGGTGGAAGAGCGCGGCAGGAAGGCTCGAGTGTGGTGCATCTTGGCAGCACGCTGCTTGCGGTCCTTCATCCTTTCCTTTTCGAATTCGCGGCTTAGCTGCTCAAAGTGACGTGCGAGCGTCGAGACTTTGGATTCCCTCTTGTGGACGTAGCGTGGAATGCCAGAAGGTCCTGCCTTACGATGACTCTTCAGGGCCCCCAGGCCGATGCGGTCCGAAAACTTCTTTTCGCCAGTTGGTTTTTGCGTTTCACCTGCTGCCGAGTCTTGAGTCTTTTGTTCCTTGAGCAACTTGCCAATGGCTGATTGCCGTGGCAATAGCCCTGGCTGAGACACGGTACGAACCAGGGGTGGCGATACAGCCGTCCCAGCCCGACGGGGAAAGGCACGGTCTGGGGTAGGTCTTGGGGTATCGTTGACACTCTCGCCGCCAGAAGCCGAGCCGGCAATATCGCTAGATGAAACCCGCTGTTCACGACGCAATTGCTCCACTTTTTCTGTTAATGATGGTCGGGTCGCAGTGGGAGACGGTATTGCGCTAGCTTGTCCGGCGAGCGATGGGGCTGCAGTAGGATCAGAGGCACTTGCTGGCTGTACCAACGACGGCTGCTCTGTTCGCGGTTTGACCTCTTCCAACCCGGAATCTGAAGCAGGTAGAACGCTCTTCGCCATGCTCGGCGAGCTTAGGTTCGCTATTTCGAGCGGCTCTACCCTCTCCGTAGTTTCCTTGGGCGGGCTTACTTCAGCCTCCCTGAGTACCGGGTCAGGCTCCACCACGGGGGCAAGACTTGTCACCTGTGGCTGGCTGAAATCGGACGACTCTGATGACTGAGAGGGCTTCTCGCCGCCTTCGGAGAGCCCCAGCGGGGTAGTCGCCGGTGTGGACTTCTCTTCCGCCTCCGATGCGACGGATGCGGTCCCATCGGTGCCCGGCAGCGACTCCTTTGACCCGTGATCTGAGAACATTTTCTTCAATTGCATGATGGTTAGCTGACGGACATCCTTGTCGGAGAGGAACTCGGCTTCGAACGCTGCAAAAGCAGCGTCCCAGTCCGTCACTTTCTGAAGCATTTCGCGGATAACGGCGTTGAGCGGAATGACCTCATAGTACTTTGAATTCATGTATGCCTCTTGAAGGATACGGATGAGCTCCGGTTGGTCTTCCTGCGCCTTTTTGGTGAGTCGCTCGAGTTCAGCCCTGCAGGCCTCGGCTTTTTCTGGGAGCACGCTATCGATCCGGATGCTCTTAAGCCTGGCCCTGACCGAATTTATGAAACGGTTCCAGCGGTCCTCAATCTTGGTGAAGATGTCATTCTTGAGCTTCAGGTCAATGTCGACTTTCCAGGTAATCCTTGGCCTTGGCACAATGATCTCGTAGAGGTCGATAGGGTCGTAGTGCACTCTAACGGCGATATCGCGGTACAAGTAGTAGAAAAACCGGATGTGGTCCTTTTTGTGATCGTGCGGGCACTCCGATTGAGGGTTGAGTCGGAGACCTTGGCTCCAGAAGGACAATTCGAGGTACTTGCCGAAGGAGTACTTCCAGGTGCTCACCGACATGGGCATAAGTCCGAAATGCTTCTTGCAAAGCTTGCAGTAATTCCACATACAAATGCCGGTAGCATCCTTGTCTCCGTTGTTCTCTTGGGGTTTCTCTGGGAAAGTCTCAGGCCACGCCGGCGACGTCTCCAGTATGATGGTGAGGCGGGCGTTGTCATGGACATAGGTGCGGTGATGCTCGTGCATCTTGCGGTCACAGCCGTTCGAGTGGCATACCAACTCGGCACTCTCGCAAATGTCCTCTATGTATTGACCCAAAGTGCAGTCCGGATCCATGTTTCCGCTAAGGTCGGGATGTTCGTTGTAGAATTCGATGGCAACCAGAGTCGGCTCAGAGCATGGAATCTTTGTAGCGGTGCAAGTGACTGAATACAAGACAACAATGTTCTGGTGGGAGTAGGGGTCAAAGAGGTCAAGGCTGCCCTGGATGTAGTTTTCCCACTGCCTCGACTGCGTCTGATAGTTGTGTAAAGCCTTATCGTACTCGGCATCGTGGACAGCATGGAGAACCTCCATGATCTGCCGCGGAGCTTTTTGCCCAATCGCGTGCACCATCTCCGGTCTGATCAACTGAAAACGCTGCGACTTGAGTTTCTCACTCTCATCGGGGTCTTCCACAATCGCCTGATCGCGAAGACGCCGCAGGTACACCAGACGCCTTTCCTGCTCTCGAGCCTTCATGAGGAGATATGGCTGCGTAAACTTGACAAACGGCGAGGCAGATAAAATTCTAGTCTCGTACTTTGCAACCATGTCGCTGTAGAAAGTTGGCATAGGTATGTCCTCAGGCACATGGACGTGAGAATGAGACTCATGGAGCGATATCAGTCTCTGCACCGGCTCGGCCATCTGCTCAGTAGGAGGCTCAACAGATGGCCCAACACTGGGCTCGGCAGCAGTCTTAGAAGGCTCATCAGCAACAGGCTCATTGGACGACGCAGCCAACGGCTCCGCACTGGGTTCGGGAATCTCTGGAGCGGCAGGCTGCTCCGAGTCAAGGGTCTCACTACAGCTGGTTTGCGGAAGTAGGCCGGTCTCTGTGCTTTGGCGTGTTACGAAAATCGTAGGACGGCTGCTTGCTGGGTCCTGAACACCGCTAGGTGACAGCTGAAGACCATTGACTGAGTGTTGTCTTGGAGACGGCGTCGACGGCAATGCGCGATCGATTTCTGAAGGAATCTGAACGAACTCGTCGCGTAGCAGACAAGATTCTAGTTTCAGGTTGTAGACAACATAGACCATGAACTCGGTGATTCGCTTCACGCGGGAAAGAATTTTGGTCGAGGCGCCACGAAGAACAATTGTGCAGCCGCGGTCTTTCGGGCAACCAGATATGAAAATGTATGTCTTCTTTTTGCCCCTGATCTCGTTATTCACAAATGTCTTGACCTCGAAGCTCTCGCTCATGCCGACCCGAGCCCCTAGGCTGAGCATGTCCATCGAAGAGATGACGGGCATGTCTGCGATCCGCGAGACGGCTTCAATGACGGACGGTTTGACATTGTACACGACGGCAACATTTGCTTCCGAGAGGTACTGCAGAGCCACCCCGGCGACGCTTTTTTCGACCAACAAGACATGGGGCTCCAGGCTAAGAATCCGGTTAACGACCATCCTCAGGTACTCCTTTTCCTGCTCGATGACCGGCTGCAAGCTCATAAAGTGCTGCTCTGGATGGCGCTGATATTCGAGAGGAAAAGTGATAATGACGATCCTGGGATTGCGGATCTTGCGTGGCATGTTCTTTAGAGCGAGGTTTTTGGTGAAGACAACCCCGTGCACATAGACGCTATCACCCGGCTTTCCGCCTGGAATTTTCTTAAGCTTGACCCAGTGTCGGATGTCCATGTCATCGCCGTTGCGAATGTCGGGGTCGACGTCATCGGCACATCTATCCAGTATGGGGATCAGAGCCTTTTCCCAGCTCGCTGGATTGGGAACACCAGCGTCCTCTAGCAACTGATAGAAAAGTTTCTTCACATGTTGCATGCTCGCGGGATTCAAGCCCGGCTCGGCCGACTTCCCTTCGCGTATTGAGTCACTCCGCCTCAATCCGGGGGCATCAATGGTGCTGTCGAATATGGAGAGCGTGTCAGCCGAGGCAGATGGGCCTTTGAGGACGGCAGACTTGGGCCGCGGCGAACGCAAATGATGCCCGCTAATGCTCGCAATGCTGAGGTTCCTACGCCTCGGTGGCCGCGCGTGCATGGGCAAATTCTGCAACCCGCCGACTTCCTCGTGGCCGCGGCTTGCATAGCTGAGTCCGCTGAGGCTCTTGTCGCCCTGACGGAATCGATGCTTCCTGCCAGCGCTCAAGTATGTGCCGAAGCTTGACCTATCTGACTCGGGGTTTGCTAGGATGCTGTCGCCGTTGATAGTGCCGGCGATGCTGCCCATTTGCTCGTCGGCGCTCGATTCATCAGACATGTAAGCTGCTAGCTCCGGGTCAATGATGTTGTCGGCATGGAAGGCATTGGCGTTGGACTTCCTTCCCAAATCATCCCCGGCTGGCATACGGAATGGGGCTCTACCATCGGCAGGAGCCTTGAGCCTTGTCAGAAGGTTGTGCTTGGAATGATGTCGATGGTGGCCCGAAGATTGCGGGCGACTTGTACCGAGCGACTTGAGCGACCGCGACGAGGCCGGCCTGCTGAGCTGCGGCATTTCGATCTCCAACACAGCTGAATTCCGGTTGCTGTCTCCAACCCTTCGAGTCGCCGGGATCGCCATCATCGGGGTAATCGCGGTCCTGTTGTCATCTGCCTGCTCCGTCCGCTCCGACACACTTCTCTCGTCGTCGGCTCGCGGCTTAGCGGCGATGGCCACGTGTTTAGGTTGACTAGCACGGAAGATTGCAGGGAGGTATGATTCATCGGCAGAGTCGTCTGAACCGCTGTCGTAGCGACGGTTGATGACGCTCAGACAGGTCTTGCACACGCGCAAGGACCCCTGAACGCCAAATTTTTGGCCGGAAATGTTGGAGGTGCACTTTGAATCAAAAATGCAGCCGCATGTCCGGCAATGATGTTTGCGTCGAAAAGCATTGAAAGGCGTGCCGCAGAGGAAACACTCCTTGCAAGTTTCATCCGCCATCCAGAATTTCTTGCTCATCACCTGCTGCCGCATCCGCTCCAGCCTCGCGCTTACTATCCCGGGAGCTCCTTCGTTACCAGTCGTCCCGGGGATCCTCGGAATGCCAGACTGTAACTTCTGTGGCTGTTCGGTGTGCGCAAAAGAGTCATGGTGCACAGAGCTGTGGGCTGAGGTGCTGATGGGACTCGCTTCAGCAGTGCCGGGCTCCATCGACGAGGATCTCGAACGACCACCGCCCTTGGAGAACGTGATTCGATCAATCACCGCCGGTTTTCGCATGGTTTCGGTGGGGTTGAGCCGTGACGAAGAAGAGGACGAAGCACGCGCTTCCGCTGAGGCCTGGACCGGGCTTCGAGGTGTGTCGCTGCTCCCGTCCACGCTGGGCGCGTCCTCCCTCCTACTTCGACTCTGAAGAACAAGACGGTCAGCTGTGGCCAGGCCGTCTAAGCTTACATTGCCGGAGAGACTGGGGCTTGATGTTGCGTCGGTGGGTTTGCTTATGCTTCTGCGGCCTGTGCTGCGCCCGGGGCGATCCTCGACACGAACCGCCACTCCACGTGCAGCATCCATATCCATACGGCCCTGTGCGGTTACCGGCGCAATAGCGGCATCTGCCGTGGTTGGCGCTGTTGTTTTGGCAATCTTCGGCAGGTTCTGGACGCTGGAGGATGCAGTTTTTGGGGCAGATAGTGTCGTGACCGAGGACGCCTTGGACGACTGCAAGCCATGCAATTGGGACTCAACCGCCGCGGCACCAGACGATGAGAGTCTCGACGCCGGGACGTCCGAGGACAGGGCTGAATCGAGGGTCGAAGCCGTGGCACCGCTTTCTCCCCTTGGAAGAGGGGAGGACACTTTGGAGGCGCTGGCAGCCGCGGTGGAACTCTTTCTGGGCGCGGTATCTTGGCCGTCGGCGCCATCTGCATCTTGAGCAGGACCCTTTCCGACAGCGCCGACGGCTTCCTTGAAGCGCGTATACAAGCCACTTAGACCCTGCTGAACGATATCGCCCGCTGTTGTCTTACTCTCGGACGTTGGCAACGAGCCCGGGGGAGCGGTGAAGTCGTTGAACGTGGTAAGCGCGTCCGACTGGCTGGCCGATGTGTGAATCTTGTCGAGCGCAAGAGCGAGCTGATCCTTGTCGACATGTGACGAAACGGACAGCGATGCTGCCGAATCGCGGCGGAAGCGGGGCGATAAAGGCGATGGGGGAACGGAAGGGCCTATGGAAGGCTGTCGGAGACCGTTGGCGTTGGCCATGCCGTCGATCCTCGGGTTAGAGCGACGAACTAGTGTCTTGCAAGGCGGCAGGATTAATAGAAGCGATCGTCATACTTTATCGCAGGTTGAATCTACAGCAGCACGAGGACTAGTTCTATGCCGGATTTCGCCGCAGCACCACGAGCAAAATAGTAGAATACCGGGTTTGACAGGAGCTGGATGGTGGTGACTTCTAACGGCCGTTGATGGGTGATGGTGTCGACGAACGGTGAGTCAAGTGTGCTTTGGACGACGCAAGTCGACTGCAAATTCCAGGGTCGTCTAAGAACATCTCCAACGGGACGTCTCGGTCGGGCTTGGCTTAGGAATGCTGTTGCTCACATTCGCCAAAGGTCTTCAGGATTCTGTTGGTGCCGTGATTGTTGACCCTCAGTCATCGGCTCAGCAGGAGCCAGGCACAGCCATGGCAAAAGGCGGGATGTCGTCAACCGGCAGGCAATTGGTACGTTGTGGGTACTTGTATACGTACTGTACATACATCCCTAGGTCAGGTAATTACAACCAATATAACTTCAGTTACATAAGATAAATACTCCAACGTTTCAGAGTTACATATAAGTGACATTACGTCCGTAGTCCAATACTGGATCACAACCAACTATCCAGAATTACGAAGTACCTCCGTACTGTGTAGTGTCATGTGACCTGGCGTCGAGCTCCGCTCTTTGTGAGTCGCGCTCCACGAATTTCCCAACGCGAACTCTACTCTCCGCATCTCGAAGGCCCCAAGAGCAAGGTCGAAACCATCCTAATATACACGACTGCAACCATTAAATTGAATTGCAATTCCCGCTAAGCAGATCTCTTCCTGGAAGCTGTTCAATCCGAATCCCTCAACATTGAGTTTGATCCTTTCATGATATCTTAGCCAAGGCACACGACGGTAATTTACATACCTCTCGACGCGTTTGCCGTTATGGAGCAGCCAACCGATTCGGTGGTCTGGTCTCCTCCTAAGCTTGTTGATAAAGCGAAAATCAAGCGGCTTTATTTTCAGCGTCGCTCAAGCCAACGTAAATCGTTGGACCGCCGGGATGCTTGGACTCCAATAAATGGCATCCCAAATATACCGCCGGAGATCCTGGAAGATGCGAGGAAGCGCAATCTGGAAAGGTCCCAGCTCACTCCCCAAACTGAGGGAAAAGGGTCCTTCCGAGCTTCATCTCCGGCGCCACATGGCGACAAGGAAAGCGCGCCTGATAACCCCGCCTCCGAAGCAGACCGAGAAAGTGATGCAGAAGAAGAGGACTCGGGACCAGGAACGCAAATTTCATGGCCGTCATCGCCTTCACAGCATTACAGGCGTCCTAGCCCGCCAGGGGAGGTTGCTAGTCTATCCTTGCCAACGAAAGCACCTTCCCGTCCTAGGTCCACAGCTGTATCTCGGTTTGCGTACATGAACAACTGTCCCTCGAGCAGTACTCCCTGCTCCGACATAGAACTAGAGGTCGAAGTACCTGGAGCCGTTACAGACATCCTGGAGCCAGTCAACTCAGAGACGGCCACTGTCCTTGAGCCCACCCCACCTTCGGCCCAGATTATACCATGTAGCTTGACTGGTCAGACCAGCCCGGTGCGGACTCCTGGAGCGAAGCGTCGCCGACTCATGAAGCGCCCTGCTGGACTGTTTCAGACCCCGGGGCTTGTTGGTCGGAGGCCGGCTGCTGGGCCACCAGCTATCGGAGCTGACAAGACTGACACATTCCTGCGGTCTCAATCGCCGAGCCCGATCATCGCCTCAACACCTCCGGTTGTCAAAACCCCGTTGCCGCTACCTGTGAAAGAGGGACACTCGCTCGCGGCAAAGAACAAGTTAGATGCTAGTGCGGCCGTCGCACGGAACACCGCTCCCCAGGTCTCTAAGTACTCTCAAGGCGAGCTTCTGCTGAACAGTGCTTCTTCGCAGGATCCCTTCGCCGCATTCAAGGCCGCATATCCGGAGTACGACGGAGACCTGCACGATTACGTCCGGGGGATCATGTGTATTTCTCGACTTGGCAAGAAGAGGGCTCTCTCCCCTTTCTTGTACGACGACTTTCTTCGCGTATTCTCTGGTGACTATATAGATTATGTCGCTAGTCTGAATGGCGAAGAACGCGCGCTTACCGCCATCCAATGGTACAACGAGAATGTGCCGAGGCCTCTCTACACCAAAGAAATTCTCAGCGTGGGTAAGATCGGAGACATCCTGGATCACTATGCAGACCAAGTCAGAGTCATCCAGCAGAGTCTTGAGATGTTCACTGAGATCGTTGAGGCTTGGGGGTATCCCACGACATCAAGAGAGAGACAACGCCAACATTCTGCTGGCCATTATACATCAGAGTCGTCATCTGCAACTTTCAAATCTGAAATCCGCCACGCCCGGACATCTTCTGACACGACTCGGGTAGCCGAAGTATCGCGGCCACTGGAAGATCAATACACGACAGCCGATGATAATCTGTCAAGACTCGCTCCTGCTAGGCTATCAGACAGGGCGGTTCCCAGGTCTATCAACACGAGAAAGAATACAGAGCCCGTACTTAGCTCGCCGCAGAACCAGGCTAGGTTCCCATCGTCGACAATCGAGCAGACTCGAGCTCCGCGGATACCAGAAACCAGAACATTCGGTCGTGTGGAATCCCCATGGCTGGCCAGCGGCATGCCCAGCGCTACGCTCACCCAAACAAGCAATCCGGAAAGCATAGCCGAACCAACACGCAAGCGCAGGTTAAAACTTTCTGATCAACCTGGCGCAACCTTTAAGAAGCCGAAAAAGGCCAAGAAGGATCTGGCAATGCGGGATGAAGATACCCGGATCAAGAACTTCCTCACCAGGCACAAGATTGCCCAGAGCTCTGCGCCTAGGAGCTCTGCAGCATCAAAAGACATATAGAGGGTTGGAAGGAATGTTAGTTTCGGTGTAGCGTTAGTGCTGGAACAGACTGCGAGATGGAAGCCACGGTCTGTGAAGAGGGCAGCGGAAGAAGAGGATTGCTTCCGGATGACTAGAGAGCGGAGTAATGAGAAAACTGAAGGATAATTAGCACCTTACTGTTACATTGCACTGCTTGCTCCAATCAAAGGGTATCCCATTCAATCCGCAAACTTTCGGCCGTCCCGACAGCCTTCCTCAAGGCAGCGAGGCTCATTCGGCACCAGCCTCTTGGGCGCGCCGCTGTTCCTCCTCTTGGGGTGTCATGGTGCGCAACTGCAGCGCATGGATCCCACCCTCTCGGGCCAGTTCATCTTTGAGTAGGGAATAGACAAGACGGTGGCGCGCTGGCTGCATCTTTGACTGGAAGGCCTCTGACGTGATGACTAGCCGGAAGTGCGTCTCTTTTGACGTGACGCCTTGCATGGCCTGGTGGTGAGCATGCAGATGCGAGTCGTTGTATATCTCCAGAGTGGTAGGCTGAAGCGCGGTAGTGAGCTGGGACGATGCACATCAGCTTCCTCTTCACGACAGCCAGGCTGCTCAGCATCGATAGGGACCAAGAAATTTATACCTTCTCCCTGATTGAGTCTTCGATCGGAGTCTGCGACGTCATGGTGGACAGCAGCCTTCTATTAGTGGCTCCGGCAAGGCCAAACGCAGTTCGTCGCAACATAGGCGATGGTCTTAGAGTTGTGCGACGCTGTAACGGATGTTGAGTCGAGGCGAATCGGAGGGGTGGTAAGGTGCTTGGGTGTCGGCAAGCACAGCGGGGGGAGTCAAAACACCGGCCGAAGAACGTGGGGAAGTGAAGCATCCGGCCCAATGAAACGGTGCCGTTTACCAGATCTCGGGGCCCAGTGTTGTTGATGCTGCAGGGCCGAGCAGGGCTCGTGCTTCTGGTGGGACAGGTCCTGGAAGTCCCCACAGTCGGCTCCACCTTAGCAACCTACGCTCATCGGTCGACACACACGGCAACTTTGGCCCCCTAAGAAAGTATTCCTCGAGTGCGTAAAAAACAATGCCCGTTCGTCATCCCGCCCACTCACCAAACCCATGCTCCACCAACAGGATTGGGAAACTCCATCTGCCGGACAAAGAAGTAGGATGCGCCGGGTTCGGCATCAGGCAATCTCGCTGTTGCCGGACCGAGCCCGCTTGCCCCCGTCCCACTCCCGCTACTTCTACTTTTAGTACATTTTAAAGATTGAAACTTTAAAACGGAACGATTTCCTCCCTGGGTTACGCCCTGCCGTTTCGGCACACCCCGCCTCCCAATGACCTTTGCCCTCGTCTTCGGCAGGAGGCTAAGTAACCGCTTACCCGCTGCTCTAGCTCCTGTCCTCTCGCAGTGTAGCTTGTCTGGTGTGAGAATGGCATCCACGCTGCCACGGCTGCCCGTGTTCGAGGCAATTGCCCGTCATGACCCGGACTCGACCGTCGTCATCCACTCCAACAGCGGGCGCCGGTTCCGCTATGGCCAGCTGCTGGGAGACGTCTGCAAGGTCCGGAACCGCTTGTACGACGCTGCCGGCAGTAGTCAGATCGACGGGGAGCGCATTGCTTTCCTTGTCGAAAACAGTTACGACTATGTGGGTAAGCCGAGTCACACATACTCTCGCGCAAACCTCCCCTTATCTTGGGCTGCCATATCCTCATACTGGCAACAGACTGACCCTCCGCTATTCAAGTGACCCTGCTGGCCATCCTTGCGGCAAAATCCATTGCAGTGCCCTTGTCTCCAGCATTCCCTGCGCCTGAGCTGCAGTACATTCTGAACCACAGCGAGGCGCTGATGCTGCTATCATCTGCCAAATTCGCTACGAAGGCGCAGGAAGTGTTGAAGACGGAGCTGGATGTTGAGCCCACATATCTTCAACTAAGCAAATTCCAAGGAGATGGCGCCCACGAGCAGATGGCCCTGGAAAGGACGGGATCTGACTCGGCGGGAATGATGCTCTACACATCTGGCACCACCAATCGGCCGGTAAGAATACCCTCTGTCTCTGTACCTGACCTTATCCCCCAATCATAGTCTGAACCCCTTTATTTTTAGAAAGGCGTCCTCTTGCCCCAGTCCGTCATGACGGCGCAGGCTCGCTCTCTGCTGCAAGCGTGGGAATACTCGTCATCGGACCACCTCCTCCATGTCCTTCCGCTACACCACATTCACGGAACCATCAACGCCATTTTCACCCCTCTTTTCGCCGGTAGCACGATCGAGTTCCTGTTCCCCTTCAACGCAGACGCCGTGTGGCGGCGATTCGCCGCCCCTTTCCTTACCCCCGACCAGACGTACAGCCATGCCGAGTCCCGCGACAAAAAGATCACCTTCTTCACCGCAGTACCCACCATCTACTCCCGCCTCCTCTCCGCCCACAAGAATCTAGCCCCAGACATGCAAAGCGCCACCCGCACCGCCATCAGCCCCGCCAACCTCCGTCTCGCCATCTCAGGCTCCGCCGCCCTCCCAACCCCTATCAAGCGCGCCTGGTCCGACCTGAGCGGGGGGAACGTCCTCCTGGAGCGCTTCGGCATGACCGAGGTAGGCATGGCGTTGAGCTGCGGGCTCGACGTGGCCGACCGCGTGGACGGGTCGGTCGGGTGGCCTCTCCCGGGGGTCGAGGCGCGGCTGGTGGACCTGGACACGCACACCGTCATCGAGCGTGGCCAAGAGCGGGATCCCACAACGGGCCGCGAGCGCGTCGGCGAGATCCAGCTGCGCGGCGCCACCATCTTCGCCGAGTACTGGCGCAACCCGGAGGCCACGGCGCGCGAGTTTGTCGACTCCAAGGACGGCCGCGGGCAGTGGTTCAAGACGGGCGACGTGGCCGTGCGCAGGCCCGTCGAGGGCGCCGGCAAGAGCAACCTCCCCAGCCAGCGCGACTGGGCGCGTGGCGATATGTACTTCATCCTGGGGCGGCGCAGCGCCGACATCATCAAGAGCGGAGGGGAGAAGGTGTCGGCGCTCGAGGTGGAGCGCGAGATGCTCGCGCTGCCCCAGGTCGCCGAGGTGGCGGTGCTGGCGGTGCCGAGCGGCAAGTGGGGGCAAAAGGTGGGCGCCGTGGTCATCCTCGACCGCGACAACTTGCCCGAGGGCAAGTGGACGCCTCTCGAGATGCGGCGGGCGCTCAAGGGCCGGTTGGCAAACTACAAGATACCCCAGGTGCTCAAGGTGGTGGACCATATACCCCGGAATGCCATGGGCAAAATAAATAAGAAGACGCTGGTCAAGGAGGTCTTTCAAGACGAGTTTAGTGGGGATGAGCTGTAAAAAGGGGGGCGTCCAAAACAACATTGTACTCGGCCTGTTTCGGTCTTGGGCAAGGAAGTAATCAAATAGATCGGATGGGCAGGCACACCGTTTAGACCGGTGGTGTAGATTGTGTACATTAGCATGTGTAGACCCGGGAAGATACCTCAGTTGATTGGCATGTTTTCTGAGTGATCAAAACCATACCGGCACATTGAATTCGGCCAGACGCCATTTTTTGTTCATCAATGATACCTTACATGGAAGAATTCACAGCGTGCCGGCAACCAGAAAGCCCTTCTCCACGCCCAAAGCCCAGAGAACTCCAAAGGAAAATTCATGGAGAAAATCTAGTAATGAAACGTCCCATATTCATAACATGAGCCTCCCAATGCCCTGCAAGCGGTGCTATTGTGTAGATAAAAGAGTATCAAAACCTAAGCACCAATGCAAGAGTGTCATAAAAAATGGGAGGCCAAGCCAAAGTACCGAGTGTCGCGGGCGAGGGCACGGCCTAGACGACCATCTTGGCCTTTGCGCGGGTACTGCCGCTGTGGGCGCTGTCGGTGTGACCCGAGAACTCGAGCATCTCATTCGGTGGGAGTTTGAGAACGGCCTTGAACCGACGACCGATGGCCATCAGAATCTCCTTGCCCTTCTCGGCGGAGCGGCCCTTGCCACCCGCAATGTCACCATCCCCGCGGCCGGGGATATGCCGGCCTGTGGTGCGAGTCCAGACGCCGATACGGTAGAAAGCCTTGCGCACGTTGACAACCACACCCATCACCTCACCATCTTCTTCGTCCTCCAAGGTCTCGCCGATGGCAGCGAGCATGGTGTGCAGCCAAAGCTCGTCGATGTTCACGGACCGTTTGTCCTTGAACTGATACGACCACTTGCCGCCATGCTTGTTCTGGGGGTCCTCCCACTCCGGCCGCACACCTTCCTTGAACAGATGGTAGTCGGACTTGAGGGCGAGATCGGACACGGGTGCAATGTTGTTCTATTGTCCGGGGAGGAGTTAGCTGAGAGCCGCGATGACGGGTACATCTCGGGTAATGTCTTTTCGGGCGACGTACATAGACACCCCAGAATTCCTCGACGGATTCAAATGTGATAACCTCCTTCAGCAAGTCGTTCCAGTTGTCGCCCTGTAAAGGTAGTCAGCACGAAAAGTTGCGGACCATGCGACCCAGTCTAAACTAACCTTGCCGCTAGCGGGCTTGGTGAACCAGAGCGTCCACCGGTTGGAGAGAGGGTGCTTGACATTGAAATTGTCTTTGTCGTGGAAGACGGTGATAGTTTTGCCAGAGTCCTCAGACGTAGCTCCGTCTGCATTGTTTTCACCGCCGGGCGAGACGGGAATGGTGGTGAGGTCGACTTGCTCCTCCGACATGTTGGCGTTCAAAGCTAGCAGTGGTGATTTGTGACCAGCTGGTGGGGTGTGACGACAATGCGCCACTAGAGGTGTAGGTCTGGGTTGAGATAACACTCAAATACGTCAAAAATGTGTGGTTTTGTAGTGTTCCCAGTGCTTGCGCAAGTATTAGGAGGAGCCACAGCGGCTTTCGCAATGAATGCGACTCCGGTTGTGCCTTCTCGGGTGTGAATTGGGAGAGGAGGGGGGCTAAATGGACGACGGAAGGATCGATTTGTTGCCTGTTTGCTGAATATCAGTTTTTGGGCAACTGCAGGTCGAGCGCTTGTTGAATGGAAGGATGACCTTGCTCCAGGCAAAGTCCGTGGTCTATATTCTGAGAGGATGAGGTAAGGTACGTTTGGCAAAGGTTTTGTTTGGTCTTGCTGAAAATCTCACGATCGCACAACCTGCGACTGCAGTGCCTCCACCAACTCCTTGTCCAGCTTGGTTTAAGCGTAGCGCACTGACCAGGTCCACAAGGTGTAGTCACGTGAATGGTCACGATAAAGCTGATAAGATAATCATGTGGCTTATCGGGGCCCGTGCTAGCAGGTGGGGAAGGAGGCGGCTAGTCGAAACTAATGAAGGGAAAAAAAAGTTCACCGCATTTGAAAATTTCGAAATTTTAAAACCGACATCGTCCAGCCAGCCCCACGTCGAATCGGCTCTCCCCTCTTCCCGCCAGATTCACCTCAACCTCTAAACCTTCCGACCATATCAACACCCTTCTTTCACTATGGCGGACGGAGTCTACGATGGTGCCATTGGCATCGATCTCGGTAATTATCCCCATGCGGTCGTTCGAATCCAAAAAAATTTGCTTGAGAAGCTCTGAAGAATCCGGGCGCATTTGCTGACAATACGCTGCGATGTTCAGGCACCACCTACTCTTGCGTTGCCAACTACGACGGCAACAATGTCGAGATCATTGCCAACGAGCAGGGGAGCTTTACCACTCCCTCGTTCGTCTCCTTCACGGAGAACGAGCGGTTGATTGGCGAGGCCGCCAAGAACCAGGCCGCCATGAACCCGGCGAACACTGTGTTCGATGTCAAGTAAGCCTTCGCTATGCTTTCGCCTTTGTACTTTTATGCGGCAGCCAGCTAACCGTTCTTTCATCTAGGCGCTTGATCGGCCGTCGCTTTGATGACCCCACCGTCAAGAAGGACATGGAGTCGTGGCCCTTCAAGGTCGTTGATGACGATGGCAACCCGAAGGTCGAGGTTGAGTACCTGGGCAGCAAGCACACTTTCTCGCCCCAGGAGATCTCAGCCATGGTTTTGACCAAGGTTCGTTGTTGCGACAGAAGATAAATCGTCTGGTTGAACACTAACAATTCGCAATACAGATGAAGGAGATTGCCGAGGTCAAGCTTGGCAAGAAGGTTGAGAAGGCCGTCATTACTGTTCCGGCCTACTTCAACGACAACCAGCGTCAGGCTACCAAGGATGCCGGTGCCATTGCTGGCCTCAACGTTCTGCGCATCATCAATGAGCCTACAGCTGCCGCCATTGCGTATGGTCTTGGCTCTGGGAAGTCTAACAAGGAAAGGAACGTCCTTATCTACGATCTCGGTGGCGGTACTTTTGATGTCTCGCTTCTGAACATCCAGGGTGGTGTCTTCACCGTCAAGGCCACCGCTGGTGATACCCACCTGGGTGGTCAAGACTTCGATACCAACCTCCTCGACCACTGCAAGAAGGAGTTCACGAGGAAAACCAAGAAAGATCTCTCGGGTGACGCCCGTGCTCTGAGGAGGTTGAGAACCGCTTGCGAGCGCGCCAAGCGGACTCTGTCTAGCGGTGCCCAGACCACCATTGAGATTGACTCTCTCTTTGATGGCGAGGACTTCAACATGCAGATCACGCGTGCTCGTTTTGAGGACCTGAACGCCAAGGCTTTCTCGGGCACTCTGGAGCCTGTTGCCCAGGTTCTCAAGGATGCCGCCATCGAGAAGAGCCAGGTAGACGAGATCGTTCTTGTCGGCGGTTCTACTCGTATTCCTCGCATTCAGAAGCTTCTGAGCGAGTTCTTCGACGGCAAGAAGCTTGAGAAGAGCATCAACCCTGATGAGGCCGTTGCCTATGGTGCTGCCGTGCAAGCCGGTATCCTTTCCGGCAAGGCCACTTCGGCCGACACCTCGGACCTCCTTCTCTTGGATGTCGTCCCTCTCTCCCTGGGTGTTGCTATGGAAGGCAACATCTTCGCTCCCGTTGTCCCCCGTGGCCAAACTGTTCCCACCATCAAGAAGAGGACATTCACCACGGTTGCCGACAACCAGCAGACCGTTCAGTTCCCTGTATACCAGGGTGAGCGTGTCAACTGCGAGGACAACACTTCCCTGGGTGAATTCACCCTTGCTCCTATCCCCCCCATGAAGGCTGGTGAGCCTGTCCTTGAGGTTGTCTTCGAGGTCGACGTCAACGGTATCCTGAAGGTTACCGCCACGGAGAAGACATCCGGCCGCAGCGCCAACATTACCATCTCTAACTCGGTTGGCAAGCTCTCGTCGTCTGAGATTGAGAACATGATCAGCGGTAAGTCGCAATTCATGCGGTATTTGAATAACAAAGGCGAAATGCTGACTTCTTCCAGACGCCGAGAAGTTCAAGAGCAACGACGAGGCCTTCAGCAAGCGGTTTGAGGCCAAGCAACAGCTCGAGTCTTACATTTCGCGGGTCGAGGAGATCCTTTCTGACCCCATCAGGTCGCTCAAGATCAAGCGTGGCCAGAAGGAGAAGATCGAGCAGTCGCTCAGCGACGCCATGGGTCAGCTCGAGCTCGAGGATTCGACGGCCGAGGACCTGAAGAAGCGGGAGCTCGACCTCAAGAGGCAGGTAACCAAGGCCATGTCGTCACGGTAAACGGCTAGGTTGGCGCTCGAAGGGTTATTAACCTTCGCACATGTACTTGGCGCAATTGGGGGAGGTTACGAAGCCACGGTCTGGGTGCGGCCGGCATACTGCGGGCAGCGACATGCGGTATGATGGGAGGCGTCTTATATCTCGTCTGGTAAAGCGGGACCAAAAAGTTAGATGGGATCTATCTGGGCTCAACCTGCGTTTCGCTGGGAGCTATCTTCGGGAAGAGAAGGTGTGTAAAGATTGCAACGACTGGGACTTTTTCCTCTTGATTCTCACGACCCGAATGCTCTTTGGCGTACTACATGTAGACTTGGGAGGTTATTCAAAACGCATGGCATACTCCACGTGGATCCAGAATTGAGTTGAGCAAATGTGATTCTTGAGCAACTTCTTTGCGCCTGTTTTGGTACTGTTGCATGTTGATGTGGGTATCTGTCTACATACTCCGTCCACTCGAGTTACTGTACTGCTCTACTTCGTAAGCCGGGTTTATTATGTATGTGGAGCTGCTACAAGGCCTCACCGGGATACCACAGAACCCTCGCTGACAACAAGCGGGCAACAACCCTAACCCTAGCATGTGCCTATCCAGTGTCGCCTCACCCCCTCAGTGCGCGAAGAGCTGGACTCAACTTGATTGCATCTCTGCATGGTCTTGAGTCTTGAAATATCAGTATCCTCGCCAGCTGCAAAGTCAAGCAGCATAAAACTGATTTCCATTCAACCAAGATACAGATCCAAGAAAATGAATTCTCAGAGATTCGATTACTTCTTTGATCTCCCGCCCGAGTTACGCGAGCAGATCCTCTCATACCTCTGTATCGTTCCCGGCGGCGTCGTCGTTGGGCCAGATGTCAACGAATGGAACGACTTTGCTGCTGCCATGAGCCTCGGTGCTTTTGCAGAGTACTACGCCACAGTTGCAACCACATTACCTGGCAATAATCATTTAGCCGCGACTCTGCCACGCGGCGACGCTGGTCGAGGGCGAAACGAGGGTAGATCTAAGGCCCAGTCAAAATCAAACCCGAGACCGCCCGTCAACTTATTCCTCGCCTCGCCCGTGCTCTACCGCGAAGCCGGCGACCTCTACTACGGCCGTAACGTCTTCCACCTCAACCTGGCGACTGGGGCGTCTTGGGCGCGGAAGCGCCGCATGCGTCGACTGCCGCGCCACCATCGCTCGAACAGCAGCAGCGGCAGCGGCAGCGGCAGCATGATTGTGGGGTATAGCTCGGAGTTTGGCTTAACCGTGACTCGGTCGCCAGTCATGAGGCTGCTGACCGAGCCCGACGCGGCCGCCGCCCGGTGCAGAATCGCCAGCGTCGTCTGCCATCTCGTGCGGTTCGGAGAGCAGGCGCAGGGATATCTGGTCCCCGCGCTGGGGGACATGGCGCTGGTGGGGAGGCTGAGGAGGGTACGGGTTGATTTGCTCGGGGCGCCGCCAGGTTTAAGAGGAGGAGGAGGAGGAAATGAAGGGCTGATGAAGAAAGCTGACTTGGGTGGGAATCCAGCGCTGAGGTCGCTGTTGGTGCTGCTGGCGGACCCGGACCTGGAGAAGGCCGAGTTGAGAGTCCCCAAGCGGTTCCATGCAGGTTTCTGGTGTCGGTTTCACCACCCTTTGGAAGGGGAGGAAAGCTGCGCCATGATGAGGGGCTGTCAAGGCGAGGGAGAGGTCGGGTCGGGGGACCGCTTCGGGGAGTTCCTCAAGGTGGACATCCGCAAGCTGGCAGAGGCCTGTGGCGCGCAAGGGCCTGAGTTCAGCATCAAAAAGGTGGGCTGTGACTGAAGGTCTGTTGTAATGATCTACTCCGTATATACCACGCGGTTGTATGTACACCAATCCCGCAGCGAAGTAAGAAATAGAATGGCATAGATGGATGGCCAAATTGGTCGCCCGGGCATCAATGCGACGGATAATAATGCCAAGACGGGACCACAGCCGAGATCAGATCTGCCAAGGCCCCTGGCGCGGACAACCGACAAGCGGGACAAATGCCTCTAGAAGGACCTGATTCCGTTGATGGAGGTCATTTCTCACTCACAGCTCGATGTTCCTGAAGCCTCAAGGAGTGTGAGAGTTTCCAAGAATTCGAAGCGGATGCTCTGCAGTATTCTTCTACCTTATATATCGCTTTGACGCCGTAATTCTATACGCCCCTCAAACCATGCATTTGCCATAACTTATGACAGTGGAATGGTTGAGAGAAGTTGATAAATTACCAACCCGGAAACTTGAGAGGTAAGACGGGCATGTGAGATGAGACTGGCTCACATAACAATTTTTGCTTCATCTGCTTGTTATATTCTCGATCTTTTCCCATTGTTCATCTTCTGTCCCAATGCTGATTCGCCCACATCTTGCCCTTCCCTCACTCAGGCAGATGCCCAGCACGCCATCTCTATGCTTGTGTCCGCCTTCCGCCTTGGCTTGCATACCGGACACCCTCTCTGAAGAGTTGCCGTCGATCTACAATTCCGCACATAGTAGTCAAAACAGAAACGGCGTATGAATCTCCGAATCTTGGCCTTCGGCATACGTCGTGAGGCCTTGATCGTGGAGACGCTTTCGTTCACACGCACTCTTCTCTCAGGTTCTCAGTTAGTCCAACTAGTATAGCTTTCTGTGGTGTACGTGAGCCTCCCCGCACTTCAAGCAACATTATGTATGTACATGCACTCTCTCGCAGAGATGGGGGTACGATCTGCGAGCGTATTGGTGCATCTGAGGAGAAGACTTGGCTTGAGATGAGCCAACAGCCGCCAGTGACGATCCGCTACTGGTCGCGGTACCTTGGAAAACTCCTCATGCCCACGACATGTTTGCTCCGGCAGCACACCACCATCTCCTGGAATACCGTTTTGTCCTGTACACAAGTGCTTACGGGGCAACACATCCTGTTTCCGCTATCTCCAGCCCATCTACCCCTCACTTCTCGCAAAATCGTCGTAGCGTAAAGCCGTTGTGTCACTACTGAGACCAAAAGCGAAACAAAAACATCCTTGTCCAAGAGTCTGTGTCTCTGCCCACCATCCTAAAACGACGCCATCTGACGGGACTAAGCTGATACCAAACTAGAGCCCCCACGCAGACAAGCTCATACACAACTTTTTCGTGAGAAAACAGGCAAAACCGGTGATATGAGCTCGCTTCAGACTAAAACACGCGAGATAAATGCATTCTTCTGGTAGTTCCATCTCATTCATATCTGGGCGCAGAGAACCCATGATTTTGATCTCAAGCCATCACGACAGCGATAGCATGAGATGATAGAATAGGGAGACAAGGGCTAAATAAGAAAGAGGCAGAAAGGCCGGGTCGTCTGGCGGCGGCAACCGGTCGGGTGCTTCTTTTGCTTACTCGACTGCGACTTCGTGGAAGTCGTCCTTGTGGTCGTCCTGATGTTCACCCCAGTGGACAGGTCCGAGCTTGAGGAAGCGGAGCCGGCTCTTGGACGCGTCGCTGCTGAGGCTAGAGGTGCGGCGCTTCAGGGCGTCGGCGTTATCTTCGCCGTCCTGCTTCGCAACACTGGCGAGCGCCTCGGCCGTAAGAGGCTGCTGGGCTCTTTGGGTGCGAGGGTACGAGTCCGACATGTTGGGCGCCAGTGACAGGAATGTAGAGGGCCGGCGTTGGGCAATCTGCGGGGGCGGAACCCTCGGCTCGCTCAGCTCCTGGGCTGTTGATACCGTCGACATTGTGGTTGGAAAGACTAGTGTTCTCGCTCAAGCTCGTTGCTAGGGAGTATTATTCCTTCGGGTTTCAGAAGGAGCAGAAGCAGGGTAAGAGATTTTGGAGCTAATGTTTGGCTTGAAAGTGGCCTGGTGAGAGAGAAGAGGACAGATCAACAGGCCCGAGCAAACTGGGCTCGGAGGTTAGCCTTAAGTACTTTTGCTAGTCGGGAAGGAACCCAATGCTCATCTTTCCTTTCCTTGGCCCGCTTCGTGCTCCGCCAAGAGTTGCTCATGAGGGCCCTCGAAATTAGCAGCCTGTCTCACGGCGGAGCACTATCAAACGCAGCGGGGGTCGCGCTTTCCATGATTGGATTCAATGACGGAGACGCACACCAGCATTTCTGGGCGATAGGCCACCACACGTGGGCTCGCAATTGGCCTGACGGAGCGGGAAGGAATTGGGAGGGGTTAAGAAGCGCAGGCGGTCAACATAATGCCTTTGCTATCCGCTGTGCGTGCACCATCCTCTGTACCATGGGAACCGGAAACACGCTCGACAAGTCGGCGCAAGTAGATGGTGGAATGGTGGAATGATGGATGCTGAAGCTAAACGACGAAATAAACTTCGATACATGGAATATGCGAAATATGTGGAGCAAGTTCGCGGCTCTGTCGCGTGCCCTGGTTTATTTCCTCTCTCCCGGGACCGATCATGACATGACGTCGGGCCCTCTGTCGCCGTTGATTGGATCCCCGGCAGTCGCGCGAAGATATCTCGGAGCATCCGCAGCTGCCAGTCGACGCCGCCGCCCAGATTATTTAACGCTGGATGCGGGGCGCGGGGAATCCCAGCAAACGTCTCCCGTCACTTGGAGTCCGTAGATTCGATGGAAATCTTGGTTAATGGCATTATTGGCGCATATAGCCAAGCGTGCACTAATGGGATGGAAACATCGCATCTTTGAGTTCTCGACTCACCCTGGTGATTGTCCCAATTGATCCCAGCTCCCGAGGCTAACCGCAGTGTCGCAAGTCGCAACACCACTTTCGATACGGAGTAATCCCTGGTAAATCATTCCGATGCTGGCGCGATGCCATGCATTGTTCCCAAAGTATGTCTGTACTGTACGTTGTCAGCTGTCCGCAGATCTTCGTCTAGAAATCCCGCTGACCACCACCCCTAGAGTCGGCGCTCTCCCAGGCGTGGGAGCTAGACGCTGGCAATCAGGGTACAGTACATTGAAAAAGTAAAATTGGATGCAGCATACATGCGTGATTGAGGCTACCGCCATCCCCAGCTACTCAAGTGGCTTGTGGCGGCCGAGACAGGTAATGAAACTGAGATATCACGCCGAGCCTGACCACGTCAAGGAGAAGGAGCACCACCCACCAAGGAGCTTGCTATATCATATCAATATGCGATCCTGTACTCCGGTTTGTCAGGGAACCAGTGAGGTACTAATGCTGTCAGTCCGTTTCGAGCGTCGGTAAGGACTCAACGTCCTTCCTTGATGACGGTTCAATGCCTTATCAAGGATGAAGGTGGCATGACAATACTGCAAAAGGGGTACTGATCTCGGTTGGGATGTCGCCGCTGTCTGAATAGAGCAGTTGGTGATATTGAGGCCTGGAGGCGCGACCCGAAGCGAAAGGGGCAAGGCTCGGTCAAGCAATTCTGTCCGCCGGAGGTCTCCTCGCCGCACCGTGGGTGATTGCAAAAATTCCCTGCCAATGGCATCTGGATTTCAAATTGCGCTCGAAAACGGGAGATTCCCAGAGAGGGACAACCCTCAGTAGGGTGTATGTAGAGCCTTGTCTGCGAATGTAACTAGGCCGCAACTCTGGAGCATGGGGGCTAGGGCGCCACGTACCAGGTCGGTTATGGAGGTAAACGTTTGGTCGAGGGAAGACCAGAGTCCCTTGAACAACTTCAGCAGTCTTGTCGGTCTATTCGAGTGAGGATTCCGGAACCGAATTGTGTCTTCTGGCCCCGTAGACCATGCCAATGCCCGGCAAGGGAGAGGTGATGGCTCGAGTACGGGGTACAGGAGCTGCCGGACTTGAGGCGAATGCCGAGAGAGCATCTGCAGGTACCTTTGTTTGCCCTCGACAAGCAGCGTGGAGGGTGAAGCGGGAATGGCGGGACGAAAGGTGCAGGAGCGGTTAAGAGCGTGACGGCGCTTAAAGTTCTTGGCCCTGTTGGCCATGACGCCGCAACTGCCGCAACTGCCGCTCCTGGGGGAACACAAACCCGATCAAAGCTGTTGTATGTAGCTTGTGTCCAACAATGGTGGTTGTTTTCCTCCCTTTGGACCGCGCTTAACTAGGCCCTTTGTAACACCTAGGCATTGCCGGATAAGCTCAACTGCGTGGCGCCCGGTCAATCCGAGAAGGAAATGTCTTGAAAGCCGCCGGCTGCCTGTCCAGAAGGGCGGTCGTTAGAGTCACTCAGTTCGCAGTCGGGTCTGGTGGTTCGTGGCTGGTACGGCTGGATTTGTTTGGGACATACACCGAGGTCGGAGAAGAAGAACCGCGGCCGCCAAGCGTATCATTCAGCAAGACGACCGAAGTTTGATAATCGGTCCATCCATCCATCCACCACCAACCTTTTGCGACTTGATGACGGTTAGTCCGAACTGGGGGCGAAGAACTAGAGAACCTAGCCCGGTACAATACACTAGATATGCGCGGCCCGTCACGTTGTGGCGGCGCCAACACCTTCGAGAAGACGGGAGAAACATGAGAGACTTCAACTGGCAGGCGCCACCATCGGCGAAAAGATGATGAGGTCGGTAACCCCGCTACTGGGCGGAGCATGGTAATGAATGTTGCGAGCCACCTTAGTGTAAACCACGGCCAAGAGAGTGCGAACATGGAATAGGTAGTGGTACGTAGTAAGGTGGGCGTTGGGATAGAAGGCAGAGCTGGCAGGTTGACACGGATGGGCCGCATATTGGGCCGCACGAGGCTTTTCTGCTGCGTGCACCACATAGCCGTAGCGGTCCGCTAGTATTCAGTACTCTTGCATAGTAAGTAGAAGAAACGAGTCATATTGCGTTACTTTTTTCGTTTCGTACGGTGTTGTTGTATAGATGTAAGCGTGAAATATCTGAAGTCTTGGTTTTGACGGGAGTACTTTTGGCATTTTTGTCTTGAGCTGAGCGAACAGTAGGTTCCTCTAAGTTTGTACGGCGCTCGTTTCGCGGAAAGTGTCCCAACACCCAAAGCCACAAAAATTTTAATTGGTCCACACCCAGGTAGGTTTTG